AACATCCCAATAGCCATTACCAAATACAATGTTCAAAAAATGTGGGATGTCTGAAGAACATTAGAGAAAACAGTCTGTGGTGTAATTTTATTTGTATGGTTTAGTGGTTTTATTATTTCTCAAATGCCATATTTTTTAGAGCTTGAGAAATGTTAGTCCTAATTTGCATCTTAGAAATCTGTCAATATCACATAGTCAGCTATGATCTAAAACAAATATCGATACAAACACATGTACATGATATTCATAAAAAGTTTTTAACTCAGTGTCGATGTTCGAATATTCAATCAAGTCCAGGGTCCAATAATCGAATACTAAATTATTCGAATCTGTCCAGCACTAGCAATTTTCGATTTTCACGCCCAAAATATATTGATTTTAATTGCTCATTTTTCTAGCAATGCAACAGGTATTGGTTTATCGAATGATACATCAAATACAAAAATAACCAAACTTTACTTATTGAATTTAAAAATTAATCCCAAAATTGTTGTTTGTTTACCCAAAAACCTGTGTAGACTTTTTCTCACATCCTGTCTTTCACGTATCAGTCCTTTTGCTAGGAAATCTCATACTTGTCATTTTATGTAAACGTACACCCTACAAAACCCGGGCATCTATTTTAAGCCGCGGCTTTTGATGGCCGACAAGTCAATACACAATACAGAGCATCGTTGCCAGAAACGTCAACAACCGAACCAATATTGTGTCATTCAAAAACCCAGAGCTATACAGTACACCCAGGCTCTTGTATTACACAAATGTGTGTCCGTCTTTCTTGTGACTGGGACACGTCCAATAAATATAAGCAACGAGACTTTGGAATATGATACGATTTCCGTGTTTTTGATGTAAACGAAAACCACCCTCGCGGCTGCGATACTTGTTACATATGCAATTGTGTATGGACATCAGCTGCATAAGATTTTGCATTTTGTGGGAATGAAATTATACTGAAGTGATAGTTTAGCGATCTCAGCTGTCCATAAATTTGTTTATATTGATACATGATATTTATAGTACATTTTTATGAAACTCGCGTCCCAAATTACCCGCAACATTTTGTTTTGCGGGGCTCTAGCGTCACAGTAGAAACACGTACCCCCATTATTTTTATATCATTTTAAAGCTTGGAAACTTAACTTTATTCCTGGTAAGTATTGGTTTGATTTTCAAAAGGGTTTTGAAATTATTTGTGTCAAATAAATGCATGTCAAAAACAAACTCAACTGATTTCAAGGAAAATCAATCATGCGCATTTTTTCTTATGTGGAAATGCTTCGTGTTCATGATGTGATGATCTCGTTGCTTTATGCTTTCTGTGTTTCCTGTTCTTGTTGATCCACGTGGACTTCACCTTAACTGAATTCACAATATTGTTCTTCATTTCAAGTTCAATTTCCAAATTCACGTGCAAGTATGTACCTAAATCAAAAGCCGCGCTCAAAGTGTGTCTCAAGTTTGCATCAGATGTACCGCATCATCAATTTTCTTTGAAATCAGTTGAGGTTGTTTTCGACATGCCTTTATTTGAACGCAAATAATTTAAAAACTCTTTTTAATATCAAACTAATACTCGCCAGGGATAAAGTTCAGATTCCAAGCTTTCAAGTGGTATAAAATATAATGGCGGTACGTGTTCCCGCACCGACACTAGAGCATGTAGAGCCTGCCAAAAAAAAGTTGCGGGTATTTTGAGATGCGCTGTAAGACTTAAAGTGCTGGTACATGTTAATGTATACATTCTACAATAACTACATTTATGAACATCGCAGATACTCTATAAGTTATGGGAAATTTTTTTTTTTTTGGGTGGGGGGCCCACACATTAAAAGGGTCTGAACTTAATAATGCAAACGTTAGTTCAAACACAAGGGACGATTTAAAGTGTTTATTTGCAAAACGCGATGTACGCCATTTTGTTCCCTTTTAGAATCCTGCTCTCTCCTGGCTGCCCAAAAGCAATTTCGACGGCTGTTATATAAAAACAACTTAAGAATACAATAAAGCGAAAAATGAAGTTTAGAAATGGCTGTTTTACTGATTTTATTCTTCAATTTTTACACTTTCACAACCTTGCAAAATTGTAAAATTTTTTCAAATGGATATGTTGCGTTTTGGAATCGAACTCTTCATTTTATGGCCTAAACAAACTTTTCAGTACTTTGATATCAATATCAAATTAAAGAGATTGCTATCATTCAACATGCAGCAATTGCAATCGCCATGTGTTCACTATAATTAAACAAGTGCGAGTGCACAACGTGCTGTGGCTGTCGTCCATGAAAGTCTACATGTATAATGTCGACTGGGAGATTGTGCCTACAAGCCCGGGCTGCGGCATCTCACGCGCCATCCCACGCTCCGTCCCACGCGCGGCATTCCACGCGCGGCATTCCACGCACCGTCCCACGCACCCTCCTCGAGGCGTCCCACTCGAAAATCACACTGCACTGATCTGTCCCCGAAAACGTACCAAAATAAGCCCCCTAAGTCTCCCATAAAATTTGCCTGCTTTTTTGCGCGGAATCATAGCGTGCTGTACACCAGCTAACTATAACATTACTGCACGTCATCTTGCCTCCCTTGACAAAATGTTCATAATAAACTTCACGAATTGTTACTGACAGTTTCTGTAAAGTATTTAATTTATTCAGCTTGCTTTTTATGTAAAACAATTTGGTATTTTATGGGAAAATTTAGGGGGCTCGTTTTTGGTCAGTTTTCCGGGGACAGACCTACTGACCAACCGACCACGAAGTGACATGTAGAGCTCCTGCTAGAGCTTAAAAATTAATTTGTCAAAAATATGCGCCCCACAAATGCTACACAGGGTGATCATCAAAATTCAATTCAAGATGTGCATTTTATGTGTATACTGTTACATTGATACATCCCTGTACATGAACTTTTGATTAGTACTGTACTGTAGTTACTGAAGCACCTGTAAATACTCGTCAATTATATCTGTCGGCTCAAATTGGTCTCGTATTGTGGACCTCCACGTGTCCTGTCAATTTCAATTTGCGTGTGATTGACACGCGATAACATTTGACATTTCTGGATCATTTTTGGATTGAACGACTTACGTGTATTTAGATTGTATGCGTGTACAGTTTGTCATTGTTTTTGTAGTTTTTGTTTTTGTGCATTAGTGGTGGAAAATCCGAGATTTCAAAACCCGGTTATCCTAATTTTTTTTCAAACTGAATAACGGTTATCTGATTTTGTCTGAAATTCCAATCAAGCTCAAACTCATGCCAACAAAAAGTGACGAGCGAGGTGCTGTATGAAATGCCCTCCCAATGACTGGGTATAGTTTGCAGGATTCAATGACCACTGGGCCTTTACAAAAAACTCCAGAGCTGTAATGTTGAGAAAAAATTGGATGGGAACTCTCTGATAAGTCAAATGGGCAGGCTATTCATATACCAAGAAGACCACCAGCGAGTGAATGCAGTTACAATCAGACACCATGGAGCAAATTGGGGGATGTTCCAGTTGTTTTCTTTAGCGTGACACAAACAAAATGGCAGGTTTACTTTTTTAAGCTTGGTTTCGAATATTCGATATTCAAAATCGAAAATGAATAGTGGTTCGGAACTCAAACCAAATTTTAAAAAGCCCACCACTTCTGTGCATAAAATTACTTGAAATTGTAGGTCTTTCTCATTTACCAAACTCGAAAGAAGTTCTAAGCTGTCCAACAAAACTTTGAATTAAAAATCATGCAACACAATCGGCACATGCTAATTAGCAGTTGAAATTAGTTACAATTTGTAACGATGAAATTTTGAAACGTTTGAATTAGAAGCTTTTCGTAAAGTGAAATACACACCTCTCAATAAGTTGCAGGCTAAAACAATCAGGCGGAAAATGCAGAAATGAGACCCACTCCACAAAAAAGGGCATTAAGTCGCGCTGTGCATTATTGTGTAATGGTCCGATCAACATACACTGAGAGGGTGAACATTTTGTCAAAATGTGATTTCATTTTTTGTCATGAATGACATCTTTATTACCTAAATTTCAGGTTTCTTTCAGAGAAATATTGATTTTGATGAACAAAGTGGAAAAACAACCATTCTGTGTGCATCATTCTGTTGTTCTACAACAAAAACAGCTAGTTCAAAGCCTGTTTTCTCAGTTGTATAATTCACACTTTAAGAAAGTAATTAATATGCAAATAGGTTACATTTCCAGAACGGGAGGGGCTATGGAGCTTTATTATATACCAAATGAAAGCTTACATTGTGAGCTTTCCAACCATGTATATAACTCAATTTCACTTTTTTGTTGCGAGATAATAGCCTTTTTTGTGGAGCTGGTCAAAAATAGAGGGGAGAAAACCATGAAACAATTGAATTGTTTGAAGAGCATCAGTTCATACATGTATATGTTTGTAGCCTTTAGTCAAGTTCCACGCGCCTATACCCGGACCATCCGGACATGTAACGCACCCCGGATGCTGGCACGTAAAAAGACTAATCACTTATTCATTTATTCACGTAATATAAATCAAGCAATATAAACCAATCATCTAACGGTGGTTTGCGGTTACCTGCAACAGCACGCGCGCCATGGCGCACGTGCTGTCTGGCGCCAGACGATGGCTGATTTACATTAGTAATTCTGCATTTTCATTGGTCAATTCACAACGGGTAATGCTTTATGCATGTCTACCAAATCGGTAGACAAATGTAAAGAAAACATAAGCGTTCTCCACGAGATGGTAAAGACCCTCGCGGCTTCGCCGCTCGTGCTAGTCTTTTTACGTGTCAGCATCCGGGGTGCGTCACGTGTCCGGGTAGGCGCGTGGGACTTGACTAAAGGTTAGTATGTTTGTGATATCCCAAGCCTTGCACCCTGTCTGTTACTCCCTGTATCAACCAAAACCGTCCGAGCACTCTTAGTGTGATGGCATCGTTAAGGAATAAATACAATGTACTACAATGTAGCAAAAGACCCTAATGGGTTTATAATCCTGTGTCTGTTTGTAGAGTTTTGCCTGACGGGGCCGTGTGTGACGATAGCCGGCAGCGTGCTGAGCTCCATGGATAAGTCCATTGACCCCTGCGATGATTTCCACAAGTACTCGTGCGGCAGCTGGATTAAGGAGCACCCGATACCCGACGGCCAATCACGGTGGACGACGTTCGGGATGATTTGGCGGGAAAATCAAGTGGTTATCAAGCAGGTTCTTGGTAGGTCGGAAAAATAATTGGCGTTTTTTCTTAGGCCTGGTAAAACAATAAACTAGTTAACTCTTCCCCGCCCGCTTTCTATTTTTCCCACCTGCCCCCTCCCCTCTTTTTAATTTTTATTTGATCATCTATTTTTATTTTATTTTTATTTATATCATCTGTGTGTATCTTGACTTCTTTTTATTTTCCAACAAAATTGTAGCTATGTCATGTTCAAGTACAAAATCAGGTAGGATGACGGCTCCTTTGGACACAAAAGTATCAGAAAAAAGAGTCAAGAAAATGGAAAAATCCATCTGCCATTTTGGAAAATCCGCCATCTTTAAGTAGGAAAAATAGGAATGCCTCCATTTTTCCATAACCCTAGACAGTGTTTCCCCTGGCTAATGAACTGAGCGAGGTGGTAAAACTTCAAATTGATGATTGAAACAAAATTTACGCAGTCTGCAAACTGAAAAGAATGCAGCGCTCACAAAAATACGTGATGATTCCATCTACACATCCAAAATTGTGAGTTCTTGACATATAGAGGTCAAGAAAAACGCTCATAAATTACACAAAATGAAAATTTTGGATTAGTATTTCCTGTATTGCAAATCTTCACAGCGAGTGGTGATATTGGCAAAAATTGAGCGAGGTGGTCACTGAAAGTAGCGTGGTTGGCTGCCTCACGTTTGAATGGGCAGGGAAACACTGACCTCAGATGAGAAACTATTAATTTTTGGCCACTTGGCCTATTTTGTTGATTTTATATGCACATATTATAGGCTATCAGCTTTGGTCCAAAAATTGGGCCACCGGTATCAAATGATCGAAAAGAGCAATGCTCATAGCGATTCGGCAAGGTATACACATCTACAGTTGAAAAATGTCAGATATCTTTGTAGTGTGAACGGTGGCAGTTTTTTGGGCGTTATCATTTTAATTTTTTTTACCAAAATGGCCGCCAGTGTTCTTGAACCGTATTAATTATATGTGGTAACAAGCATGTCTTGGCTGCCATTTTTTTTTTAGCACCCAAAAGGCTGCGATCGCTGCAATGATATCACATATTTTCCAACTACAGGGGTGCATACCTTGCCAAAAATCACAATGTCCATTATTCCCCTCATTTGATACCGACCAAACCCCCAGGCCTATTAAACAACACTATAAGCTATATTTTATGGGGTTTTTCAAACCCGGTTCTGTCCCCAGTTCTGCTGTAAGTTAATGAGACAGAGTGTAGAGCGTTTTTCTTTTGTTGGGATATTAAGGCTTCAATATGCATCTGAAAAACATATGAAGCCGAAACTGGAGATGTTCCCAGGTTTGAGAAACACCTTCAGTTTTATCACTGTACCAAAAAGCAACAACAATTTTAACAGTGTCCTCATATGTCGATGAATATTATGGAAACAATCTGGTTAGATCAAGAACTACAATGTATATATGAATGTAGTTAACCATAGGCACAATTCCAGCATCATTGACATTACAAATCAGACCTTTTTTGTACTTTAAGAGCTCAGCGAATAAACCTGAAAATGTATTTTTCAAGATGTATCAATCATCTAGTAATGGTCAAGGAGATTACAGACTAGGAGTTTTGGATCATTTCTCTGAATCATTAACTAGATATCATGGTTCATTGACTCTGTCACGGACAGTGCATTCTCTTCCATAACACTGGAATTGCCCAAAGTTCTATTAATTCTGACATGTCTGATCAAACGCTGGTTAGACAACGATTGGTCTGACTAGTTTCTTCGATTTTAGTGACCTGCATAATATGGTAATGAGAGAAAGACTATTGATAAGAGAGAGATTCTTGTTTGAATTCTGTGTTTACAGAGGGCGAGTTAAACACGACCAGTACTGCCGAGAAGAAAGCGCAGAATTACTACACGTCTTGCATTGACAAAGAGGACAGTATTGATCGTCTGGGAGCGCAGCCGCTAATAGATATCATCAACACGGTAAGAACAGGATGCGTACATGTATTTTGTTTTAATAGGCAGGGCGGTTTGGAGTGGTATTGTAGTGTAATAGACATTAACCTTCCTATGCAAACATGCATTCTGTGCCGAGTAGTCCTTTCAGTCAAAATCAATCAAGTGACTGTTTTCAACGGTTCAGAATTCCTAGCCTACATAAATCAGGATTGACTGGCTGAGACTGTTAACTCGATACAGCTAAGTGCTTTGGCTGTGCGTAATTGATAAGCCAGTGCCCACAGCTTGCCCGCTTTGTCTGTTCATGGTCTGTTGACTGAGTTTGACTCGTCACAGTGCTTGCTTGACATATGATCTGACTGCTGGTGACTAGCCTGTGTTAAAAGTTTAGCAGGGAAGTGAATTGAATTTTGACTGTCTATGACTGTTTAAATGGCAGGAGGTTTAAGTAGGGCTGTGCATTTTAGCATTTGATTATTCTTACTTCAACTTGATTGAATATTCATAATGTGAAGATCTTGTTTAAAATGTGCCACTCTAAACTGGCCACTGATCGGGATTTGTGCTTACCTGCGCTTGTCCAAAATTGGCAAAGAGTTTACACTGATGTACGTGTAGAAGAGGTAGCAGAATGGTGGCTATTTGACTGATTTAAACCAGTTCACGTCAGATGACGTGCATACACACAAAGGTTTTGCGGTACTCGGAATGAATGACGGATAAACGCGCAACAAGTGAGGCCGAAAATATCTGTCTGCAACCAGCTCGCAGCGAGTGAGGCCCGAAATATCAGGGTGTGCTACCTGCAGATGACGGCCTGTGAACTCGTCTGGCATCGAGGTTTGTGAAAAACAATCCTGCACCTGGGTCCGGTCATGTCAAAATAATCCCGGCGCGAACTGGTTAAACAAGAAATTTGAGCTAATTTAGTAAAATATTTTATAGTTTGCTGAAAAAGTGATGTAATATTTTCCTTTTGCTTTTGAAGCTTGGAGGGTGGAATGTCACTGGGACGTTCAACCTCACCAACTACAATTTCAACAAGGTTTTCCAGAAGATGGAGGCCCTCTACGATGAGAAGCCGTTCTTCACGCTGCTGATTGGTGGAGACGATAAAAATTCCAGCATTAACATTCTGCAGGTGAGGCCTTGACTAGAAAAGCTTGAACCTATTAGCACCGGAAAGTCGGCGTCTCCATATAGTAGGCAAAGGTCGTATAGCGTTGCACGCAGTAGGTAGTAGGCAAACCTTCAAAGCTGTGATGGATGGCAAAACACTGTGTGAAAAAAACAGTCACAACCTAGTGCTGGGTTGGCACGATTATAATAATAATAATAACAAACATGTTCTTATATAGTGCACAACTCCTAGTGACTAGATCGAGGCGCTGTCAAGATGGAACATAGTTAGACTCGATACAGTTCAGTTTTGAGCAATTTCTTGAATGTAGCAGCTGAGGTAGAATATCGGATCTTGTATGGAAGATTGTCCCAAAGGCGGGGGCCAATGTAACCCAAGGAACCCCGGCCAACAGATTTAGAGCAGGTAGGAGTGTTCAAGGTGACTGGATCACGGATTGATCTAAGTCTACTGTCACGTTGATAAAATGATATGAGGCTAGAGAGGTAAGGTGGGCCTTGGGAGTTGATGGTCTTCCAAACGATCAGGAGGATTTTGATTTTGAACGGGAGCCAGTGCAGTTCGTTGAGTACTGGGTTATGTGGTCATAGAGGTTGGTCTTTGTGATAATACAGGCAGCCCAATTTTGTATTTTCTGAAGTCTTCTTAGTAGATATGCCTGAATATTGGAGAGGAGCGAATTGCAGTAGTCGATATTTGAGAGAACAAGGGCTTGAACTATTATTATTATTATGACAATTGTACACAGAATGGGTAGTGACCATTATGCATTTTGATAAAGAATTTGCAATTATCTTACATGAAAATAAGCCATACTCTCTACTTTGCAATGCATGGTGTGGTTGCTAACCAAACGCTCGCCCACTGCAATGGTGGCCCATAACGGGGAAACAAGATGGTCACAGGAGACTTTGATGTCGTATACAATCGGACCCTAAAGACCAATCCAAGCATGCTATCAACTCTAGCATGAATGCTCCCTTCAATGGCGAAAACATCTAGCTATTGTTCAGATATTCTTAATGGGGCAGTTGCATTTATATGATAGCGTGCACAATGGCTTCTCCATTGAAGGGGGCCTTGTGAGAGTGATCACTTGCCCTGGGTTGGACTTTAGCGGTAGCCCGCTAGCCAAATGCTAGTCAAAACAGCGCAGGCTAGTCAAACTGTGAAAGTTTTTCTTAAGTAGCCCGGTTGGCGAGTCAAAAATTATTGGGCTACGGCAAAGATGAAAGAACAGGAAGAAATAAATCATTAAATTTAGAAAGCAAACCTGTATCAATTTGTGTCTAATTTTATTAACTGTTTAGGGTTCAATTATTAGATCTGTTTATTAAAAACACTGACAAGATTGCCTCAGGATACGCATTTTACATGTATGCACATTGTTGTTTATGAGACACTCTATAATAAAATAAAAAACATGCGGGCTAGTGTAAATGCCCGCGGGCTAGTTAAGAGTCTGTTTCAGTAGCCCGGCTGGCTTGTGAAAACAAAGTTAAGGTCGAACCCTGTGTGCCCCCATTCATTTTTACTACATTATTTATTTTTTCACTGAAGAATCCATGAAACCATGCATAGAGTGCTCATGAAGTTTAGGGCTGTACAGGGAGTAATGGGTTAAAGAGCTTGAACAACTGAAAGAAACTTTTATGAAACGTTCAGTCGTTGTTCAAGACAGTAGCACCAGCTTACAATGTATTCCTCATTTTGATAGAGCAGATGGCAGCACACAGTACTGTTTCCACTGCTTGATTTTAAATTTGTAGATTGCAGAAGGGAGCATTCTTCTCCCTGATGAGAGTTACATGGTCAACAAGACTGAGGACGACCCGGTAAGTCTAATGTCGTGACAATTAAGTCTTTTCTGGGTTGCCATCCTTCGAAGGATGTTAGTATGTTGAGCTTAACGGTCAAAAGTTCTATGCAGTGACCCCAGGTTAGATTCTTACGCAACGGGAACTGATGATCGGCTCAAAGTGCCGCTGTCTAGATGCGGACATCATACGTGCAGCTTGAAAATCCGTCTAGTTATGAAGGAAATCAATTCCTTTCTCAAAGAGCTAAACAACAAGGTGATGATGCCTTTTAATCCGAACACGGGTCCGAAAAACATTGTTGTTCACTCTTACATCATTTTGTACATGGGTGATCTGTAGATTTTGGATTGTCTTCCCTGGTAGAGCCTCTCAACCCAAGCTCTGACCAGGGCTGGATTTTACCTCTGTAGAGAATTGGAACCATGTGGAAGCCCTTGGGGTTGAAATCTCAGGGTTCCCTGGGGTCAAAACTCCAGGGCTCCCCGGGGATTTTGGACAGTGTGAAATGGCTTATATTCGCAATCTTGTATTTGTTGATTGGTAGGTTGTAGGAGCCTACTTCAAGTACATGAGGCGAGTGACGGAACTCATTGGAGCAGAGGGCGAGGAAGTCGATCGGCAACTCCGAAACATCTGGGAGACTGGAGTAGACATTGCCAATGTAGGAACTAAGATCTTGCTGCTGAAACTGTGGTTTTTAATTTCAAATTTTCAAATAAACCACAAAGGGAAACTGACTAGTTTCATTATAATAATTTTTTAAAACTTGAACAAAGAGTTTGACTGGAGTAAGGCTTGAACCTGTGACCTCTGGATTGCCGTTCTGGTGCTCTACCAACTGAGCTTTCCAGCCCTATGTTGGCTGTTCCCCATTTTGTCAATGTGGGTGCTGGTCAGAAGCCATGAACCTGTATGTGCCATGTGGCCACATAGCAGTCTGTGGCTTCTTCTTTAAGCGCCTCTTGAATAAGACATTGACAAATGGAGCACTACCAACATAAGGCTGGATAGCTCAGTTGGTAGAGCACCGGAACGGCCATCGCGAGGTCGCAGGTTCAAACCCTACCCTGTCATTACTCAACTTACATATTCATAAAAAGTTCTCTCTGTTATTGATATATTTTCAATAATAAAACAACTAAATTATTTCCTAATTTACACATATCCTTATACTTTTCTGCTCATGATTTCTGAAAATTAAGGTTGATTGTTTTGTTTGTCTCCAGCTGTCCGTGAGTTTGGATGATTATGAGAGTTACGAGGACATGCTGAATTATATGACGGTGGAAGACATGCAGAGAGAATTCCCTGCGGTAAGACAAAAACATCGGATCGAGAACTTTGATGCTAAAGAAAGGTCAACACGGATGTTCTTCTTTTTCAGTTTATAATTAGGAATTAAACAACCACTAATCGCAACTTTATTATATTTGAAGAGTTTGTTTTCAAAACACGATCAACGCCATTTTGTTACTTTTTGAAATTCAAACCTCTCCTGGTTGGCCAAAGTCAGTTTCAACAGCTGTTATATCTAATGTTAAACACAATTTAAGAACACAATAAATGTAAAGCCCAAACTCTGGCTTAGAAAAAGCTGTTATACTGGGTTTTTTTATTCTGTAAGTGTTTATTACCATGCGATTTTTTTTGCTTTTTTAGCTGCGGACATTTCGAGCTTGTTCGAATGGATATATTGCGTTTCAGATTTAAACTCCACATTTGTGATGCGATCAAATGAGTCGTTTGTCGGGAATTCTCATTTGGAGATTCAGGCCAAACTATGACCACTTCATCACATCACTTCATCACATTTCTTGGTGTCCCGACTTCCATAATTTTTGAACTAAAGATGGTACCAGCATGCAGTTTTCACAGCAGTAATCCTGAGATTATGCTCTTTTCAAATTTGTGAAAAAAACAAAAATTGACCAGGGTCGACAAATGACTCATTTAGCTTGATTGCATCACATTTGCTTATCATCTAATGTTTTTTTTTCATCATTATGTTCATATTTATCCTTGACATTCTCAGTTTAACTGGCTAGAGTACCTCACCTACCTCTTCAAGGATACTGAAGTGAAGATCACCTCCAAGGAACAACTTATCGTCTTCACTCCCAAGTACCTTGCGGCAGTCTCCGACCTGGTCCTCAACACAGACCCAGTGTATGTCCCGCAAATTTTATCAAATAAATTCTTGAAAAAAGCTTTTAAAACCCTTCTGTTTTCTAAATCTCTGTAGTAGTTATACATGTCCAGGAAAGTTTTTTTTGTTGTAAACAAACATGCAACTTTTCCTCGGATCGGCTGATTTCCTCGTAGTTTACTTCTCATGAATGCCATTACAGATTGAAAAACACTGTACAAACTCTAGTTTGGTTTGGAGTTGCCTCGTTTTTTCTAAATTCCCAGTTGCATGCCTTTGTAAAGCTCATTGATCTTGTTAAATGAACGTAGGATTACTACAATTACCTGGAAACACTACTGATTTAAAGAGAAAATCCTTTGCTCAAAGTGAAGATAGGACTGGTACCAAATTCCCCTTTGAAATTATTTCGCCTGAAATGGTATCATTCAGAAGAAAACAATCATAAAATGTGGTTTGAGAAAGTGTGCCCACATGCATAGCTCTTTTACATGCTTTAGCAACAGACTCCAGGTACGAGACCCCAACTGCGTGTTTTCCTCGGTTTACTCGAAATGCATGTGTAGTGTCCACTAGGGCCAAGTTCGGGCAAGGACCAATAGTAGTGGTTGATTTGTGACGTACCTTACGCCTGCGCACTGATAGCAACGTGCGAACGTCTCTAGTCAAACGCTGGTCAAAATGTCATCGCAAAACTTCCGGATCCTAGCTCTCGGCTAGCGTTATGAATGCGTGCGGCTATTGGTTACCAGCGAAGCAACCAACCCCAGTAGGCTGGTTCCAAATAGTCGACTAGCGTAGTCAACCACCGTCAACTAGACAGAGTTCGGGCAAACGTTAGTTTACCATTGGTCGACTTAGTCCTTGCGGGAACTTGGCCCAGGCTGAAACTTCAACAAGTTAGTTGTTAAGCTTTGAGCAATTTATAATATTACTATAAATGTGGTGTCCATTTAGCGCTTTATACAAAAAAGGTCTCAAAACGCTTCACAATTATTACCCCTGTTCATCAGGCCATGAGACTTTTTTTTTCGGCAGTAGTTCAAGATCAGTGCAATCTGGTCTCTACCTTCACAGGTATTCCGTTACATTCCTAGGTGGAGAGAGGCAATTGTAGTAAAGTGTCTTGCCCAAGAACACAAGTACCATGTTCCCCATCAGGGTTCAAATGCACAAACATTTACTACGTACCATGAGACTAATACCACAGCCATTAGACCACAGCGCACTAAAGCAACAAAAAAAAACCAGCCAGCCATTGGACCATGGCTCACTAATGCAAAAAAAGAAGGGAAAAAACAGCAATTTTTTTGTTGTTTGAAAAAAAAGGACAAAAAGCAAATGATAGTATGTACCTTTAAGTCGGTTGAAATTTGTTTCTCTGAATTCCCTTGACCTGAATCAGTGCCCTACACAACTACATGATCTGGTCGCTGATCACTTCCTACACCAAGTATCTGAGCGAGGATTTCCGGCGAGCCGAGGACGACTTCGACAAGGAGCTGTACGGCCAGACGACCGAGCAGCCCAAATGGCGCTCCTGCATCTCCGACACCGATGACAACCTGGGCTTTGCCCTGGGGGCGCTCTTCGTCAAGGAAACGTTCAAAGGGAAGAGCAAAGAACGAGTGAGTTTTGTGGGCTGTGGGTTCTTACGCTTGTCCTCACTTCCCATGTCCGAGGGCGCTGACTGTAGCTTATTCATATTTTATTCAACATTTATTTCCATCAAAGTATTAAAGGAAAGCATCATGAGAACAAAGAGTAGTTACATTAAGATGGAGGCATGATTTCAAAAATCCGAAGCTTATAGGGGCATGCGTTTATTAAATGCAAAACTGTAAAAAATGATTTCAAAGAATTTAAGGACAAACAGACAAACCATTAGTCAAGTAGAAATGAAATTCAAATAGTAACCAAGGACGGACTGACGGACATACAGACAACAGGGGTCAAAGATTTACATCATAATGAGACTGAAGTACAGTGAAATGGGGGTTTAAAATATCTGGTCAGGACGGAGAAAGAGAAAGACACTATGCATTAAAATAATAGGACACAAGATGGTTCTTGATAGCTCCATGTTGAAACTGACTTTAAATTGGCCCACAAAGGACTGTGATTTTATTAGCTGATCAAGTACATTCCACAAATGAGGCCCGTAAAAACGTAAGGTGTTTATGAATGTGATGTGCGGGTGAATGGAACATACCGATAACAGACCATTAGCATGTCGTGGCCAACTTGGTTTTTCCCCATTCAAATCAATGTAACCAAAAGGAGGGTGGAAGGAAAATAGTCTGGTTCTTTTTTGCACAAAAATTCATTATCATTCAGTGCTGTTATTGGATACAGGGAACATTACTGAAATGGTGGCAGCATGATAAAGGTCTATTGCGTGATCTAGTGTGATTGTGATTGACTTATGATTGACTCATGATTGATTTGTGATTGACTCATGATTGACTTGAGATTTGGCTCGTGATTGACTGACAACTCTGGAAAACACTTGAGGGCATTCAGAAATTTTCGAACACAAATAGAATCACAGTCACATTCCCCACCTCAACTTGACAGATTGATCCCTAATTTGATGGCTTTCGATTTCAGGCTAGTGCAATGGTGGAGGAAATTCGGAGCGCTTTCAAGAACAACCTGCCCGACTTGGAATGGATGGACGAAGAAACTCGGCATGCTGCAAGAGATAAGGTCAGACATACCATAGGCTCCCTGCGCGAACAAGAGAGGGCGCTATTTGACATTTCGAGAGTCCAGTGGACTGGACAAGAACTGTTTTGAGTATGTATGGTGCAAAGTACCTACGACTAATTATATTCTGAATGTGCACAAAGCAGGTGTGATTCTCCAGCACAAAAACCGGTCGGAAGTTGCACGGCCGTATTTTGAGATACAGCCTATAAAAGAGAGAATATTGATGAAAATTAGGAACTGAAAATACCTATAGTTCTCCATCAGATTTTGTCCAATTCCCATATTCTACAGGGTGAGTCAGAATGATCTGGACCCAAGTTCACCATTTTTGTTGTGCCAAATAGAGAATATTGAGAAAAAAAACAACAAAAACCAGAGTGTTTTGTATGAATGGTTATTGCCTTGACTTCCACAGGAATTTTGAATTTTTCAAATTAGTGGCTGTGGTGAGGAGTTATTCCATTTTCATTGAAGTGGCTCATTTTCCAGTCTGCACACGGAATTGGTTTTGCTTTTTTAAAATGTGTCAATAACTTCAAGTGAGTCAGTCACCATGACTAGGTTTTTATTTGTTATTACACTGCTTTACATCAGTATGCGATTTAAATAAATTTGTTGAACCATATGGAGCCATGGTCAGAGTGTTTTTAGCGTGTGTTCTTTGCTATCGCTATTCTTCAAAATGGTACAATGGATATACATGAAACTTTCACCAAATATGTCCAAAATACCAGCTTACACTTGTTTTAACAATCACTACCTATTTGTGTCAAAATCATTCTGACTCACCCTGTATACATCATCAAAAAAACTTATACATTCAATGTTCTTTCCAATGAGCCCATCATCCCAGTTGTGAAAAATTGACCCAAGTGACTATTTTTTTTGTGGTGGATGTTCACAACTTCTAACGACTGCCAATAGACCATAATTGAAGCATGTTTATTTTTGTATGTCTTTTTTTGGTCTATTTTGTCCACAGGCCAATGCAATCCTGGACCTGATAGGTTTCCCTGACTACATTCTGAACAGCGCTAAATTGGACAGCTCCTACGCGGATGTAAGACCTCAACAATAATTTGGCCATTTTTTGTCAAATGGAAATTTGTAGAGTTTGATATTGGTATCGCACCATTCACGGATATTGCGTTCTGAAGCACGAATGGTCAGAAATACATCACTTTTTAGTCTCAAACTTGTGTCCCGAGCTATTCAGATGCCGTTTATCTCCGGTTTCCTTGGCAAGAAACGACTGAGAATATTTCTAGTCCCCCTGGATGAGATGCCAGTCCATCGCAGGTTACTCCCCAGCTAATGCCGGTACCCATTTATACTCCTGGGTGGAGAGAGGCAGGTGGGGTGAAGTGGCTTGCCCAAGGACACAACATATGGCCAGCAGCTGGATCGAACCCCTGACCTTCTGATCATGAGTCACAAACCCTAACCACTAGGCCACTTGGGTAAATTTGGTTACATACAAAAAAGTTCTAAATAAATCTTGATTTTTCTATTTTTTAAAATTTGTAACATGTAGTTGGAGATCAACGCAACCGACTACTTTGGTAACAACATTCGCATCTCTCAGTTCCACACACGTCAGGAACTGCAGGAACTACGCAAACGGGTCAACCGGGGTCAATGGGAGATGACCCCGCCTCAGGTCAACGCTTACTACTCCCCGCCCAAGAACGAGATTGGTCAGTCTTTTTTGGGTTTTTTTGGAAACATGTTAACCCTTTAGCACTTGCATTAAATCGCATTGCAATATATTTACTCCTCCATATAAAACCATAATGTGTTGGGGCGGTTTGGGGCGGTTTAAAATGACAAAAGTCGTTGAATTTTGTGATTAATATTTATCTTAATAGCATCGGAATTTTTGCTTCGTTTTGTTTTTTTCTCTGTTTCTGCTGAGCACTTTTCATGGAACATGTTTGGCAGTTGATCTACATTTTGATGAACGAGGTCATGAATTTTCAGGATTTGGTCATGGAAAAGTCCTGGAAAAGTCCTAAAGTCTTAATGTTTAGGGACCCTGTTTAATTAAAAACATTTCAACAAAGTTTTTGTCTTTTCTTTTTACAGTATTTCCTGCTGGTGTTCTTCAAGCACCTTTCTATGACAAGGATTATCCAAAGTAAGTTAAAGGCATATAGAATCGTTTGTTTTTCATGCCATTTGTCAGTTTCCAATAATAGTTAACACGGCTCAAAATCCAAAGTAGATTATTCAAAACCTGATCTGTTGAAGTTGGAGCTCAGTGGACATTACACTTTTCAAGAAAACAGTAAAAAACAATGCACAACGTTTTGATCACGCACCATAATTTCGTGTACAGCGCTCTTATAATATTTCCAAAAATCAGTCATTTTACCGTTGCATTGGAAATCCCCTACATTGCTGGAATTCTTCTAAATGACAGCAAGCCAGATTGACTAATTTCATGGGGTGCTTAGCACCAGTAAACTCGTTAATCCAAGTAAACCTTTTGATAATAATTCGGTATGTTAATTTGGGCTAAATGCAAATGACAAAAGCTGGATTCTTGAAACGAAAACTATTTTCATGTGTATAGTTTTGAAACCCATTTTGAGGTCACTGACAATTAGTAATTGGTTTTTCTTTTTGGTGTAAATTTTCTCTGAATGTTATCTTAATAGAGTGGACAAATTTTCTATAATCTGGTAAGTTGATGATTGGAGTAATAAATGAATTGATCTATTGCTGCTTTGATCACTAGGTCGTTGAACTTTGGCGGTATGGGGGTGATCATGGGCCACGAAATCACCCACGGCTTTGACGACTCGGGCCGCAAATACGACAAGTTCGGCAACGTGAAACAGTGGTGGAACAACGCGACCATTGATAGATTTGAGAACCAGATTCAGTGCATGGTGGACCAGTACTCCAAGTATGAAGTGAACGGGAACTTCGTAAGTACCTGAAAACTGTGAGGAGTAGAGTGTTCTGTCATTTTAAGTGTTCTGTCAAATATAATCATGCGCGTCGCATATATAGCGCTTTCCAACAAAAGTAGGTCTCATGTAGCGCTTCACAATTATTACCCTTGTTCATCAAACCACGAGACCACTTTTCTGCAGCCAGGATCAGCCCAATCAGGACTCGACCCTCACAGGTACCCATGTATTCTCCTGGGTGGAGAGAGGCAATTGTAGTAAAGTGCCTTGCCCAAGAACACAAGCACCATGTTTCCTGTCAGTGTTCGAACCCACATACAGTCTTCTGCAGCAGCTCAAGATCAGCACAATCTGGTCTCTACCTTCACAAGTACCCCTTTATACTCCTGGGTGGACAGAGGCAATTGTAGAAGAGTGTCTTGCCCAAGAACACAAGCACCATGCTCCCTGTCAGGGTTGGAAGCCCTGTTAAATGGCACCTGGGTGGAACACCGTAAACACTGGTGCTCTCTTACCACTTTCGAGAGCCAAAGGATGACACGAATGGTGTGTGCATACTGGATTTGTGATCTGATACACTGTGCCCTCTGGAGACATGCACACTATAGGGAACAAAAGATTGTATACGTCTCCACAGGGCAATTTCTATAGATGAATACGTCTCCACAAGGTTTTCACGAAATAGATAAATGGATTTTACTCAAAAGCTAGGAATTCCCAAGGTGGGTTGATCCGTCGCAAATAGAAGAGTTTTAGAAAAAGGGATATTAAGTCCGAATTTCAGCCAAGGAAATTAATTCTGGTTAAAATAAGAGCATTTTGAAACTACACTTTCAAACTCGAAAACTTTACTACACGAGAACAAAGAAATGTCTCCACAAGGATACAAATTTCAGTATCCCAGCACATATTGCACGAAGTACACCCAACATATGTGCATAAAGCCAAAGCGTCTTTGCGTTAGTGGCAGGCATTGTCGGCAATGCATTGGAGTGTCCCTCTCTGTGGTCTTCCTCAACTCTCTCTTTGTGACCGTTGAGGGGGTACTTCTGCATGGAGACTGTGTTGCTGTGTTGGAATATTGACATGATTGCACATTTGATTTCTGTTCACAGATTGACGGGAAAATGACGCTCGGTGAGAATATTGCAGACAACGGTGGGCTCAAGTCAGCATACAGGGTAAGACATGCCAATTTGTATAATTTTTATAAATTTCATGGTTTTCCCACAATTCAAAAATAAACTCACAGATGTATTCAGTAAAATATTTATAGTTAAAGCCACGAAGGAACATTTGCAATTGCCTGAAAATTAAGTAACAATTTAAATCGAAAGCTTACTCAAAGTGAAGACAGGGCTGGTATCAAAAACCCTGCGAAAGGTTTTCTCCTAAAAGTTGTATTGTTTGGGAAAAAACTAACATTCAAGGTGGTTTCAAAATGTGTGTCGGCGGGCAAGTGCCTGAAAATTAAGTAACGATTTAAATCGAAAGCTTACTCAAAGTGAAGACAGGGCTGGTATCAAAAACCCTGCGAAAGGTTTTCGCCTAAAAGTTGTATTGTTTGGGAAAAAACTAACATTCAAGGTGGTTTCAAAATGTGTGTCGGCGGGCACAATGTTTTACGTCTGTCAGCAAAGAACTCCAATTAGGAGACTCCCAAAATTGTGCACGTTTTCTCTGTTTCCTTCTTGTTGGTCGTACACCCTGAGCAATGATGTTGCTTCAAATGAACAAAATGCACAGAAAGCCAATGATCTTACGCACCTTTAAGCCAAAATGTGTTCATTCTCAATCTGTTCTCCTGATTGGTTAATTCCCAAATCGGTTCTCTGGATTTGGTTAATCCTAAATCTGATCTCCGACTGGTTAATCCTAAATCTGTTCTCTGGATTTGCCTAATCCTAAATCTGGTCTCTGGACTTGCCTTATCCTAAATCTTTTCTCTGGACTTGACTAATCCTAAATCTGTGCTCTGGATTTGCCTTTTCCTAAATCTGTTCTCCGGATTCGCCTAATCCTAAATCTGTTCTCTGGATTTGCCTTTTCTTAAATCTGTTCTCTGGATTTGCCTAATCCTAAATCTGTACTCTGGATTTGCCTAATCCAAAATCTGTACTCTGGATTTGCCTAATCCTAAATGTGTACTCTGGATTTGCCTTATCCTAAATCTGTTCTCTGGACTTGACTAATCCTAAATCGGTTCTCCTGATTGGTTAATCCTTACAGGGATATCAGGATTGGATTAAGGAACATGGAGAGGAGAAGCCCCTGCCAGCCCTGGGCTTGTCACATCGGCAGCTTTTCTTTGTTGGCTTTGCTCAGGTTTGTATTTCTCATCGTCAGGAATTATAGTCAAGATCCAAGACTGTATTTCGGATTGCGTTCCCCTAATGCTGCAAGCAGTGGTGGCGCCAGACTTCAATTTTTTTTTGGGGGGGGGGGGGGAATGGGGGAAGGAAACATTTTTGGGGGCAGTCCAAATACAATCTGATGATATCAAAAATCTAAGGGAAAGTAAGGAATAACTAAATGGCAACTAAAAGCCTGTGTACGCACGCGCATGCCTATCGTCAATGGTCCGGAATTAAGCCACTAGAGCAAGTTAAAAGTGTAGTCGTTTTTATGAATGAGAAATGTATCAAACCACAGAATGGTGTATAACAAATGTACAAAGACGTTGGCTGCATACTATCTACGGCTGTATAAATGCATGTCTGGTGTGTTTTGTCTACCAAAGTACCAATGTTTGTAATGCTTTCATTGGCCCAAAATGTGTCCACGTAACCGATGATTCACTATCTTAAACTTTTTATGAATCTTAACAGCGAAAAAATGTATCTATGTGTAGATGAAGTGTTGAGGGAAAACTTGAAGGGGGGGGGGGACAAAGTGGGGTGGGGGAGGCAAGAAAACAACTTGGGGGCAAATGTGTTAGCTCTCTCTTAGGCCAAAAAAAAAAGTCTCCGGTTTCTGGTATGCGCGCACGTCGCCATAGCCATGCGCGTCGGCAAAATGAAAAAAAAAAAATTTCAATGAAAGATGATGTCTCAAAACCGCCAAACTCACTGGTTTGACTGGAATCATGCTGCTGCACAATTTTAACGTGTTTTTAGATTGGGTTATGGTCGAGAATAAGCTTTATGTGGCCTCTCTGGACTCCCATATATTTGCACTAAGTTTAGTCGGGCACCATTTGCAGTCATCAGCCGACATTGGAAGCAAAAAAAATCAGGTAAAAAAAAAAAAAAATGCCGCGTCGCCGCACCACTTTTTGGGCAAGCTCCATACCAGAAACCGGAGACTTTTTTTTTTGGCCTTAATCATAGTCGATCCATACTGATTGATAAATGTTAAATTTCTTTTTAAATTGTATTCTTTCAGGTTTGGTGTTCTTCGCAGACTGCCAAAGAAGCCCAGCTGCAGTTAGTCACTGACAACCACAGCCCAGCCAGATACAGGTATGTGGGGTGGAAGAACAGTCAAGAACTTGGCCATAAGTCAATGAAGTTTGAAAGCCTTAATATTGGGGAGTGCAAGTGTTTCATTATGAGCTTGTGATCAGTACTAACCCTGCTGAATCCAACAGGATCCAACTATATCATATACCCGACCGAGCCTGTTGGATTGAGCAGTAAACCCCTTGTGTACATTCCTGCTGCAAAATGTTGGATTCAGCAGGCAACTGATCCGCCTAATAACGCCACGTTGGACTCCGTTGGATTCAGCAGACAACTGAAATAAGGCACAGTGGATTGAGCAGAAAACTCTGGTTGGACTCTGTTAGATTTAAAAGGGTAGTCCTGAGGAACTACTAGGGGGTTAGGGTTAATAACACCGGAGTCTTAATACCAGTGTCTGATATAGCGCACGAATCTACCAACAATTAGGTACTGAAGGTGCTGGTAATTATGTCTATTTTTAAAGACAGGTAAATGAAGTTTATGAGAAATATGAGACCCATTATGTAGCACAAGGTTTACAAAGTGCTGCGGCGCTTATTGCAGCCACTGCCAGAAACACCAGGGCAAACCCCTTCTCTTAGCGATAAGTGTTACTGGGTTCTTGAACGTGCTTTACACAACACACGGTACCCATGGCTTTACATTCCATCTGAAGGACGAAGCATAATGGTAAAGCACCTTGCTCAAGAGCACAAACACCATGTTCGCCGTCAGTATACGAACCCACGTACCATGGCACATGAGTTGAAAACCGTAACCATTGGACCACAGCTCCCCACAAAATTGTATAGGATTATCTCATTTTGCATCGAGTATGCCTAATTTGAGATGAGCTAGAAACCAAACAAAAAATAGTATACCCAAATTTTTATATGTGTTTGGGGAAAATGTCTTTGGGTATAATTTGCATCCAAGTTCATGTCCAGGTTACTTGATCCACAAGGTCAAATTCAAGGTTTCAAATAAATCATTTGTACCTTCCAATGGACAATCAAAAACAGTTACAACCCCAATTTCTAGTTTTTTCTCCTTTTATTCTTTGCACAGGGTGATTGGGACATTGTCCAACTCTGAAGACTTTGCCAGGGAGTTCAACTGCCCAGCCGGGAGCCCCATGAACCCCAAGAAGAAGTGTGAGGTGTGGTGAAGGGGGAGTCAGGGAACCCAACATACAAGCCCTGCCTCCAAGTTGGGCATGGCTTGCGTTCGTTCAATGCACTATTAAGAAAAACCCTAAAATTGTACAGTCAACTTGTACCATCTTTGTGCGGACACCAGATGTGATTTTAAGGAATTCTTTGTCACGGTTTGAGAATTTGTTGCTTTATGTTGGGTGTTTGTGGCTGTTCTAGAAATTTTCAGCTACTCTGGAAGTTTCAAGCAAAGCTGAAGTTTTTTAAATGAGCTTTTTAAGTGAAGACATGAAACTTCTTTTGTCTTTTTTAATGAGGACCTGCCTATAAGGAGGCAGATTTTTATGTAAATAACATTTCAGGCACACTTGTATTTCATAGATAGCAACTCACATATTTTCTTGAGTATCCTTAAATATGCCATGCATACTGCCCTCTGGTGATGAGATTCAGTCATCTTATTTTGCTTGTTAGTGTCACAGTCACAGAAGTTGCAGAAGTTGCCAGTAGAAAAAAATTAAAATATTTTTTCTATTGTTTTTAAATGTTTACATTCAGAATCAGTGACTATTAAAATACATACTGTAAGTTAAACGGGGAAAACGGTGTGCGAACAATTTAACATAAATTGTAATACGTGTATTAATGTTACTTTTGTCGATCTTATTTCAGGAGAAACTTGCCATTTTGGAGAATTTTGGACGATAGTCAAAAAGCCAATTTTTTGTTTTACCTCATGATAATTATACCACCTTTTGTTTCAATTTTACTTTTTTTTGCATATTTGTTGTCTTGCCAGTGAGAAAGACTTTACCTCAATTTGTCTGCCAATACTTATTTGAACGTATTTTAAAAACATGTATAAAATATTACGATAAAGAAATTTGTTTGGGAGGGGGAGATAGCTTACAAAACCTTGTGTATTTTACTGTCGTGTACTTGTTTGCGTTAAGTTTGGGCAGGGCCTAGGATCAAAAAGGCATATTTTTGTTTGTTGGGGGGGGGGGGGAGCACAATAAAACATTAAAAAAAATTAAAATTATAATCACACAAGTTCTAATTCTTATAGGCCTACATGAAAATGAAACTCGTTTAAAAACAGTTGAATAAATCTTGTTCTCTATCTGTGTATTTAAATAACAATTTTATACTAGAACATGTTAATATGGTCGTAGTGTCGATGTAGTCACGAGTCAATGTGGCTTACCAGACCGACATTTATCTCCAGTTTCCTTGGCATGACACGACTGAGAATATTTGTATTCCCCCTGGATGGGATACCAGTCCATCGCAGGTTACTCCTCAGCTAATGCCGGTACCCATTTGTGCTCCTGGGTGGAGAGAGGCAAATGTGGGTGGAATGGCTTGCCCAAGGACACAGCATATGGCCAGCGGCTGGATTTGAACCCGTGACTCTCTGTTTACAAGTCACAAACCATAACCACTACCCCCCCCCCCCCAGTTGATGCAGAAACAGTTTATTCTTGTTAATCTCCCTGTTGGAGAAATATTCTTTTGGCTGAACATTCCTCCAAAAGACTCATCTATCAGGTCGTAATTTTCCCAGAAATTGTACCCAATGATACACATATATTTCGAAGATTAACCAATTCAAAATGTACTATAAAATACCAAGTGAACAGAAGTTTAACAAAAAAGGAAAACAAAATATTCTTGTAAATAGTATGCTTACTGTAATTGTAAAGTGTTAACAGTACCAGTTAATGAATATTGCTACCTTGTATTTTATTGTAAAATATCAACATAGTAAAATATATACGAAGGCTTTCTATAGTACTCATGTTGTACATGTATGTCTACACTACCGTACTGTGAAAAGAATCTCTAGTTTTTGTATTATGTGTGTGAGTTTTAGTGTATGCTTTGGTGTGTATGTTTAAGAACATTGATTTTGCATCAGTGATACTTCTAGTAGCTTCAGGTTCAGATGGATTGTTCATCATTATTTTCTTATTTCTTCTGTCTTTCTTATCTTAAAAAAAACCTTGTTAACGTAGTTGTTAGTAGTTTAAACATAAAGCTGTTTTTATCTCTCTTTTTTAATTTGTGAGCATTATTTTTTTCTGTTGAAAAGAAGTTATGTTTGTCAAAACTGAAATGAAGTCAGCGTTAGTGCACTGAGGGGCCATTTTTACAATGTGGATGCCACAATAGGCCGGTCATTAAGCTCCGCCCAGAAATGTTTTGACCAATCACAGCCGTGGTAAATGTCCGACATGCGTACTACGCGCACCGCTTGAACACACAGTGTGGCATTGGAATGGCCACGTGCTGTTAGAGGGCGGGGCTAAATATTATGCCCAGCAAATAGCACAAACTGGTTCCCGGCCTAACTTGCGCCTGGCGGATACTGTTGGCGACTGGTCCTCCGTGGACGCTTCCTTTGCATTTAAAAAGGCATATATATACATTTGCATTTATCCCGAAAGTATACCGAATAATTATCAAACATCTTACTTGGATTAAAGATCGTACTGGTACTAAACACCCCGTGAAATTATTCCGTCTGGCTTGCCGTCATTTAGAAGAAATCAAGAAGTGTAGGTGATTTCCAACGATCAGTCAATGACTGATTTTTTTGAAATACATGTACAGAGTGCTGCGGACGAAGTCGTGTTTCGTGATCAAAAAGATGTGCATGGCTTTTCACTGTTTTCTCGATAGTGTAATGTCCACTGTTTTAAAACTTCATCTGGCTAAGTTTTGAATATTCTTCATTGAATTTTGAGAGGTGTTATTATTGGAAACGAACAAAATACATGAAAAGCAAATGATCCCATATGCCGTGATGTAAGTTTGCTTTTGAGGCCGCTGCATCGCATTCGACCGCGGTTTTTACCTCGGAAATCAAAAGTGACAATGCATGTACTGTAAAATATTGCCGATGCTGCGGTAACAATATTTGTGAATGAGGCCATTTCTTTTAACTATTTCTGTGAATATAACAATATTATTACATGTATGTGTTAATATCCGTCCTGGCAAAATGGGCATTAAAGTTATTCACATGGAAGTCATGGTTTAAAAAGATATTTATTGCCCTGTTTTATGACCTCTATTCATAAAAATGCGCAAGTCATTTCATTTCAATAGTACATGTAGTGTATTGTGTTCTTGGTTTTATCAACTCCAATTTTAAGGTAAAAATATCATGCAGTATTTTGATGTAACACACTTTCCTATTGGTTGAGCGCTTTGTTAAGCAATATTGGCCAAGTTCGGGCAAGGACCATAGTCGACTAGTGGTTGATTTGTGACGTACCTTACGCCTGCGCACTAATAGCAACGTGCGAACGTCTCTAGTCAAACGCTGGTCAAAATGTCATCGCAAAACTTCTGGATCCTGGCTCTCTGCTAGCGTTATGAATGCGCGCGGCTATTGGTTACCAGCGAAGCAACCAACCCCAGTAGGCTGGTTCCAAATAGTCGACTAGCGTAGTCAACCACCGTCGATTAGACAGAGTTCGGGCAAACGTTAGTTAACCATTGGTCAACTATAGTCCTTGCGCGAACTTGGCCCTTATTGCACATTGGTTGAAATCTTTTTTTTGTAACGGGAAACGTCATTGGCTATATTATTGCAGTCAGTATGTCACATCGCAGTTGAATTACCAATCACCAGAGAGGCACTAGAGCACAAATTATGAATAAATACGTATCATACGATGTGAGATAATATTGAGATGTTTGTTAGTTTAAGTATATTGACGTCACAAGTTCTCAAGAGAATTTCGTCTCCGTAAAAAAGTGTACTCTCTCTATAAACACAGGTTGTACTATGATCATGTTATTTGTAAACTGTACTTAAAACGACACATTAAAAAGTAAAAAATGTAATACAAAGGGTATGAAAGTTTGTTGTGTTTGTTGAGTTTATAATGTCCCACAAATTCACACGACAAAAAAAAAAAAACGCCCCGCTCGCTGCTTTTTGCAACCAAGTGCATTGCGCATGCGTCATTCGGGAACGGAATCTTATAACTTTCCATTAAAATAAACTCCACCAGAACAATAAATGAGAAGAAAAGGATGAATTTCATTGTTTTGGTCATCAGGACTTGATTAAACATAATTTAGGGAAGAAAACTCACTTTCGAAGAAAAAAAATTGAAAAGTCCAACCCTCCGGGATTCGAACCCTGAACCCACAGTATTCAAAACCAAAGATTTAAGCGCAGCGCGCTATATAGCGAAACAACACTAGAGACAGTGGAATACAAGCTATAAGAAATTATACTGAATCTGGTGACATGTTATTCACGTGACATGTTTGATGCGTGCGAAAACAATGTTTGTGCCCCGTGCTATTACTGTCCAGCACATTTAAAAAGCGAGAGACCCAATTGGTAGTGCTACAACCAAAAAATATTGTGCTGTTTTCATAAGGTTTTAGTAAAATGATTCAAGCAAGCCCTTTGTTATGCAAATTTTCACACGCGCGCGCGCGTGTGCAGCTGAGCACCTGTGTCTTTACTCTTGGGTGCAACTTGGACGTTTTCTTGCTGCGTGCACCAGGAAAGCGTTTGCATTCCATCCAGCACGTTATAGTTGTCTTTCGTTCGTGGGTGGTGCATGCAAACGTGTACTTCGAAGCAGAAACTAAAAGACGGACATTTTGTTTCCTTCGCAATTCCGGGACTATAATGGAGTAGGCTACGACTACGAGCGAAATTCTGTGGTGTACGACACCGAGTGAAATTCTGTGGTGTACGACACCGAGTGAAATTCTGTGGAGTACGACTACGAGTGAAATTCTGTGGAGTACGACTACGAGTGAAATTCTGTGGAGTACGACTACGAGTGAAATTCTGTGGAGTACGAGTGAGCACTGTGCAGCGTTGCATTGCTGTCCACACCGTTCTGGCGTAGTTGGTGTTGACTCAAGTGGAGGCCATTGCGTGGTGAGTACTAAATCTGTTTCCTCCTATTTGGGGCATTTCCATACAATTCTATGACTCTCTGCGTACGTCCGACCACATGATGTACAAGGTCGCTAAGGTGTTGGTAGCTACAGTTTGGTCAGTAATTGTTTTGTACTCACGTCACATACATGTAATTATGAGTGATGTGTCAAATGTTCCAAAAGCAGCTCATTAAGGTGTCTGACATGTCCGAAATTTACGGAATTGCCCTTTTTGAACCATATTTTATACCTCCCGTCAGAGCCCCGTTTTGTTATTTTAAGTAGAATTTTTTTTTTTGAGGTTCAAAACACATTAGATATGAAAAGTGTATTAGCAACAAGCCTGAGCTATGGGAGTAGTACTTTGAATGGGTAGGGTTGTGTCCTCAGAATACTGAAGCAAGAATTATAATAAGCACGTACAAATTTCTTTTGTAAATTCTGTGGCATTTTATTTTTTAGCTTACCTCAATTTGCCAAAATAAGTTTATACTCGGCTTCCTCCCGTAGGCCTAATCAGAACCAGTCGGACCGCTCTGTATATATATGTACCAGCTTGTAATTATCACTACATTTTCTCGGACCCCGAAAAGCACTCGACTACAAGCACAGGCGTAGTTAGGAATTGGAAACAAGGCCTTAGGGTGGGCAAATTTTGTACGTCTAGAAGTGAGGTTTCGTTGACTACATTTTGTTTGTCATAATACTTGATAGGCTTGTTTCACCAGTCATGACACTATAGCGAAATTGCAATCCAGTACACAAGTGTTCAAGAATTTATTGTTCAAACAACGTTGTTGTTGAACTGCGTGTTCCTTCAGTAGTCAGGAAAATTTTCTGTAGACTGGGACTTCACTTTAGGCAATTTTTTTCTCCGTGATGATTTTAGGTGACTTAATTTTAGGTGACGACAACAATTATTGTTTGTCTTAATATCTTATAGGCTCGTGTTACTTATCATGACCAAGCACCGGTAACAAAATTTAAATCCAGAACAACAGGCATTTGTTTTTGTTAAAGCAACAGAGTCCAGACGTGTTGTTTCTGCGTGTTTAATAATCGGGAAGATTTTCTGTAGACTTGCACTGCACTTGGGCAGGGTTTCCTTTGTGATGACAAACATTACTTTTTCGGTGACAACTTTGTTTGTCTACTTTATTGGCTTGTTTTACCTGTGATGACTAATAACTAGGCGACATTTCAATCCAGTACAATAGGTATTTGATATGTTATTGTTCAAGCAAGGTGAGTTTCTGAGTGTAAAAAAATCAGGAGAATTGTCTGTACATTTGGACTTCATTTAGGCAGGTTTTTCTGTTGTGATGATAAAAATTAATTTCGGTGACTACATTTGTTTGTCGTAATATTTTAGGTTAGTTTTATGATCATGACCAATCACTAGGCGAAATGGCAATCCAGTACGACAGGTATTCAACTAATATCTTAGGCCTCCTGGTCTGCTGCACTTCACAACCCTTCCAGTTTTTGCAAAACGACGTTTGCCCGTAGAGTTAGCGCCCATACTTAAGTAATCTTCTCTGGAGTATTATGGATAACACTTCAAATCCCTGCACAATTCTTGTGTGTGGTTACTTAAACACTTCATGTCACTTCACCTTAATTGAAACTGACCTGCAGGGTTTTACTCTCTGAATTCCAAAGAGTGAAAATTCACTCCATTCGACTGAAGATTCAATCCCACAGTCGGAAAGTAGGGACTAGACGTTTTGGAGTGAAATTTCTTCAATCGTAAAGATCGAGTTTTCACGCGAGCTTTGACTGAAGCGGTTCTTTTTTTTTTCAGACTATTTCAATCGAACATGAGAGTGATTTTCACTGTAAAACGTCTAGTCCCTAATTTCACTCTTTGGAATTTAGAGAGTAATATTGCTCTGAATATATTGCTGTGAATATTGACTTCCAAATTGGAGAGATAGGCCTGTGATACTTATCATGACCAAGCAATGGCGAAATTTCGACTCACTGCGACTGGTTTTTAATTTAATATGTTATTGATGAAGCGACTTGTGTGTTGTTTCTGCGTGTGTTCAATATTGTCAGGACTGGGAATTCATTCAGGCAGGTTGTTCTCCGTGGTGACAAAAACAATGGTTGGTAACAACACTTGTTTGTTTTAATACTCTGAAGGATTATTTTAAAGGGAATGTACATCATTGGCTTTTGCTGTAATTTTCAGAAATGAACTATTTGGGGGGTTAGTATAGAAGATCAAATATTGTTGCACTGACATGTTTGACGTTTTGTGTTCGAAAATGCTGGAAAAACCAAGAAAAACAAAAATATTCAAGTAGTCTGGTTCCCTGACTCCACCAAAGATGAAATGGATAAAAAATACCGGAAAATTGTAAGGTAAGGAAACCAGTCTAGCTGGCCTGCACCCGTTCATGAACATGGAACCAATAGCTAGCAAAACAAAATTTAGACTTAAAAAATGGTAAATTTGGAGCAGTCATTGAAAAATAATTAGGTTTCCAGCGTTGGAAATGTATACAATATACCATTTTCTTCAAAATGGCTTCACACCAGGTGCCATAATTTTACAGGATGCTTTAGCATGTCATTTACCAACATCCTAGTAAGGTATTTCGAAACAACTTGGTAGTTTTATTTTTCGATGTTTGCAAATGTTGTATTTTCCCTTTAACAGTTATGACCATTCAGTAGGCGAAATTTCAGTCCAGTTCGACAGTTATTTATTTAATAAGTTATTAAAGCAACGTGTGCAGTGTTTCTGAGTGTTAAGTAGTCTGGATTATTTTCTCTAGACTTGCATTTCATTCAGGCACTTTTTTCTCCGTGATGACAATGAACTTTAGGTGACAACAATGATTTGTCTAAATATCTTATAGGCTTGTGTTACTGAAATTTCAATCCAGTACAACGGGTATTTAATAATTGTTCAAGCAACGTGTGTGTTGTTTCTGGGGATTCAGTGTTCAGGAAGATTTTCTGTGGATTGGGACTTCATTTTTGACAGGTTTTTTTTCCGTGATGGCAAAAATTGATATACGGTGACGACAACAATTGTTTGTCATAACACTTTTTTTAGGTTTTTGTTTAACAACTCATGGGCAATAACTATAATAGCGAAATTTCAATCAGTACGAAGGTATTTGTCCCTCAAGCAACGGGTGTTGCTTGTGCGTGTTCAGTAGTCAGGAAGATTTTCTGTGGACTGGGACTTCATTTATTCATTTGACAAAATTAACTGTCGACTAACATTTGTTTGTCTGAATTGATATTGGCTTGTTTTACAAGTCAATGGCGAAATTATAATCCAGCACGGCAGGTATTTAAATAGGTTGTTGTTAATAGGTTGTCAGTGTGTGCTGTTTCTGGAAGATTTTCTGTAGACTGGGACTTCATTATAGGCAGGTTTTCTCCTCGATGGTAAAAATTAATATACGATGACAACACTATTTTGTTGTTGTAGCATGACCAATCACCAGGCGAAATTTCAATCCGATATGACAGGTATTTCATAAGTTATTGTTTAAGCAACGTGTGTGTGCGTGTTTTCCTGCGTGTTCAATAACCCGGAAGTTTTTTTCTGTATACTTGGATTTTATTTAGGCAGGGTTTCCTTCGTGATGACAACAATTAATTTTCGGTGACGACCTTTCTTTGTCTTAGTACTTTGAGGCTTTGTTCTATTGTCATGACCAATAACTAATAGGCGATATTTCAATCCAGTACAACATAAGTATCTAATAAGTTCTTATTCAAGAAAGGTGTGTACAGTTTCTGAGTTTTCTGTAGGCTGGGACTTCATTTAGGCAGGTTTTTTCTGTGATGACAATCATTAATTTTAGGTGACGACAACAACAATTGTTTATTTTAATAAGTTAGGCCTATAGTCTGGTGTTACTCATGACCAAGCACTGGTCGAAGTTTCAATTCAGTACGACAGGTTTTTAATAAATTATTGTTCAAGCAATATTTGTGTTCAATTGTCAGGAAGATTTTCTGTAGACTGTGAGACTTCATTATGTCAGGTTTTATTCCGTGGTGACCAAAATTAATTTTTCGGTGACAGTATTTGTTTGTCTTCATACGTTAAAAGATTATTTTTTTTACAGTCATGACATATCAGTAGACAAAATTTCAATCCGGTACGACAGGTATTATTACATGTACTAAGTTACTCTTCATTCAAGATGTGTGTTGTGTCTGAGTTTTAAACTGTCAGGAAGATTTTCTGTTGACTGGGTTTGAATGTTGGCAGGTTTTTCTCCGTGATGACACAAATTAATTTTCGGTGACTACACCATGCTTGTCGTAATGTTTTATGCTTGTTTTTGAGTCATAATGGCAACCCAGATTCTCTATTCGGCTGCTGTATGTCTACACGCAGTAGGTATCCGAATCGAGTATTTAAGGGCTACGACTTGTGGTCCAAGTGTCACAGTATAATTGTACTAGGGTCGTTCCCCTTTCTTTTCCCTAAACTAATGTGATCGATCTATCTACTGTGGATTTGATTTGCCTCTCTTGTGATGCAAAGTTAAGTCCAAACGAACGGACGTTTGTAATTTACAGCTCTCAACCATGCCTTGGTAGGCGTCTTGATTAAAGCTATACCCTTTCTAACTTATAACATATTTTTTTTTAGCGGTGTGCCTATAAAAGGCTCTCTGCTTCAAAGAAGCAAATGTTTTAGACTTAAAATTGATGCCTCGATTTAAGCAATCACTCTTGATGCGTATATGTACTTACGTCAGTGTAAACTGGTAGAAAAATGAGAATGTCATTGTGAAAATACGCTATTAAAGCATACATTTACATTTTCAACGCTCAAACAAGTTTCATTCGTTAGACGTTTCTCTACTGTTCTGGACATGTTTCCTCGGTGCATGTGCCTTCTCCGGCTTCGCCATCTTTGACCTCTCTCACGTCTTTGGCTTGACACTCTTTCGCTTCTTCTGTAAAATAATCGACACCAAAACGCCATTTGAAAAAGGGTATAGATCTTTCTAATTCTTCCATGATGCTGCAAATTGTTGCTGCAAATTTTGTCGCTATTCGTCCTCAAACATCTTCAAAATATCTTCATGCAATTTCTGAAGTTTGTGTTCTTGTAGTCTTTGCATTTTTTCCCTTTAAGCGATCTGTGATTGAATTGTCTCTATTTAAGCTATTGCTATCGTTGTTGGGAAATCAACAGCCAATGAGCGTCAACCACTAAGATGGTAGATCCTCCCACTCACCCAGGAACGGTACACACTGAGAGCGCTGTTGAACCCTAAGTGATTCTTAAATTTAATCTCTATAAAGCCACAGTTTGATTTTTTTTCGTTGGTGCACCATTGCAAACTCACCGGCAACCTGGATGAGTTTTGGTATGAACTCATTCCACATGAGGCACTCCTTAGCCTTGATGCCACGCCCATTACTCATGGAGACTGACAGGTCTTTGTAGGCGAGTTCCTCCAGGGTGAACAACGGCCATTCTGGCAGCTTCTCCTCCTCCCTCTGCTCAGCATCCAGGGAGGACAAGTTGGGATTACTGAAGAGTGGAATAGAAGCGAGGAAGAAACATTGTCTAATGCAAATGTTCACGTTAGTGCCCCTATTTATTTTTATAAGCTTCGAATGTTTTTAAATTATGAATATTATGGAAATGTACGTAATGTTTTCCCCCTTCTTAAAATTGCGTAGTGATCCAGCATCTCGGTTTGTTGCTGCTGTTATTTTGGGTTTGTTACTATTCCTAATTAATTGGCAACGTAATTATTGTAGAATTATAAACCAAGTTAAACTTTTTTTACAGTTTGATCTATCTATATGTCAATTACCATTTGAAAATTCACTCACCCAGTCTTGGCTAGATTAGCCCAGTATTTGATAGTCTGGATCGACATACGGGCTTCATCTTCAGTGAACGTCCAGTTGACAGACGGGATGAGGGGCTGACCCATGACGAAGATGAGATCGTCACCGTGAATTGACTTGGTCCACTTCTTACCCAGCAATGTGGTGGTGGCGATGTGAGTCATGAAATAGCGGTATACCTGACGACCAGCCTTGGTGAAGGCTCTGGCCGTTTTGTCTCCGGAACAGACGAACATGACGTCACCGAGAACTTGTGAGAGGCTGTCTAGATAGTCACAGTCTGGTAAACCATAACAGGAGGCGTTACCGTACATCATCTTGACAGCCTCTATCACAATCGGCTCAGAGCTCAGCATCGAACCTAAATTGAATTTAACAACAGCATCGAATGTATCGCTGTCGACGAACGGTGCTTCGTCTGTGCTGTTTGGAAAAACAGGAAGGAGATTGAGCATCCCCTCGTCAGCAAGAGCCCCGACGATTGCTACCGCGTCGTTGATGGCGCCCTGCTCGTAGAGGTCATTGGGGTCAGCAGGGATGACCTTGCCATCGACAACTGGTGCGAAGGGTATCAGGCCTCCACCCAACTCCGCCAGTAGCTGCGCAAAGATTGGATAAAGTGCAAGACTTATGCTTTCCCTTTGTGACACTGAACTTACATAAAATAGCTGACAAATCTTTCAGCATGCAAGATATTGACCAACTGAAGCATGGATCAATACTCCATCCATATAAATCTTAGTTAATTAGGCTTAGGGCCTACACTCATAATCAACTTGCAATTTTGTAATGTAGTGCAAGACTGGGGGCCACCCTCCGGGCACTGAACGTACATATTAGCTAACAAAACTCTAAGTAAGATATTGATTACCTACTAAGAAAGCATGGAGTTATATTAAATTTATAGTTCATAGTTATTCATTCTTTATAAACGGACAATTTTGCCAGACCTACCTTTTCATATTGGTTTTCGACAATTGTGTCAAAGCCCTCAATTTGCTGTAGACATTCCAGTAACTCTTCCGACGTCTGTTGTTCACAGCCGACCAGCTTTCCAAGACCAAACGCCGCTCTGCGTGCCGCAACGTCTGGCGTAGTTGCCCAAGGAGCAGCAGCATCGCCACTCTACGAGATAATATACACACAAGGAAGTGATGAGGTTTGTCTATGTTAAGTCATCATGTAAGCTAGCATAAAACGTGAATGATACCATGTCAACATATCAAGGGAACGAAGCACAACAGAGGATTTGGGGAATGTGACTACGAAACATATTTTGATACGTGGGGGCACTTTTTAAGATGGACGGAACTTTGAGATCATGACACCAAGTGGCGCTGTTCATGTAACCTTTATCTCCCACCCTCTCTTGCGAATCCCTGGCCAGAAGGGAGGGGTCGGGGCGTTCCTTTCTACATTCACGCCTCCCTTGATCCTGTATACATTTTAAGTTGTACCTCCAAGATGGCGCCACGGAAGAGTCCTGCACTGCCCGGTGACACCATGTGCAAGCCCACGCTGCCCGCTCCTGCACTTTCACCAAAGATGGCAACTCGCTCAGGATCACCGCCGAAAGCTGACAATAAACAAGAGAAAACATTCCAATCTAAACATCTACATGTTCTAACTCCTCCCGCTTTAATAAACAACTTCCTTTTGATAGCTCCTTTACAGCATCTTGAGGTACAAGCTTTTGTTGAACAGGAATGAATAAAAAAAATAGGCCTATTGTAAAAGCCGGTACCTTTGATGTTGTCTCTGACCCATTCCAGGGCAAGGCGCTGATCCAACAGTCCCATGTTACCTGGGACGACGTCATCATCTGCAGTGAAAAGTGGCATGAAAGAAAATTCGTCGGTATTAAAGCGTATGCACATTGGTTGTGTACAACACTTGGCACCCAACTTGTTTGAATACAGCATCCTAGAAATGAGCTATCTTCCTACTTACACGAGGCGTAAGCCTATAACAGGGCTTACTTTATGGCTTGATAGCTTCCCCTGGCGTGATTCCTGGCTACATGACATCTGCATGTATTAGGTTGTATGGCTTCTGACTAGCGCCCTTGAACAAAGTCACTGACAAACTGAGGAGACGTCAACATATAGGGCTGGAAAGCTCAGTTGGTAGAGCACTGGAACTGTCTTCGTGGAGGTCACAGGTTCAAACCAGGACAAAAATTACAGCTGCCAAATTATCTTTTGAGTAGAAAAAAATCAGATTCGATTTAAAACCTGTACTTTTCTTTTCCCGAATATTTCGGACTTACTGGTCGAAAGGAATCCAAAAGGGCCGAGTCGATAATTCATTGTGACGACAATGACGTCACCCACAGAAGCAATTGGGGTTGGATACATTTCCGCCATAATTCCAGCTCCGATCATGTAAGCTCCTCCATGGATGAAAACAAGAACGGCTGCATTTGAAGGCTGCGAAAAATAATGATAGAAAAGCTCTTATATCAACCTTAGTCTGTGTATACCATGTCACATTATTTTGTTCACATAGTTTGGTTTTGTGGTCCAGCAAACTGTTCTTCTGCACTGCTGGTGTATACATGTACAATTGAACATACATGTACATATTAAAGTTAATTCAAATGTAATTTTTGAATGACGTAAACTTACGTCACAATTAAGCCTTGAATTGACGTCTGTGTGACGCCATACCAAAACTTGCAGTCATAACAGCGTGTTACAATTGATAATGTAGTAACCAACTGATAATGTATCACCAACCGATACTGTCACAAAAAAATTAACCGATGATGTATCTCCAATCAATAATGTCACACAAAATTGACCGACAGTGTAGTAAAATGTACTACACTATCAATCAATTGTTGTTGCGTTATCGGTCCTAACCGATGATGTAACAATAATTGACTGATAGTGTAGTAACATTTACTAGACTATCCGTCATTACTTGTTACGTTATCGGTTAGTGATACGATATCGGTAAATTTTGTGACATTATCGGTTGGTGATACGTTATCAGTTGTTTACTACATTATCAATTGTAACACGCTGTTATGACTGCAAGTTTTGGTATGGCGTCACACAGACGTCAATTCAAGGTTTAATTGTGACGTAAGTTTACGTCATTCAAAAATTACATTTGAATTAACTTTAATATGTACATGTATGTTCAATTGTACTAATGGAAAGGCAATCACTAGTGCGCCCCACAAGTAAGTCGGGGCATGGTCGGGGATTGTCACTTAAATTTTGCCCGAGGGGTGGGGATCACGGTGGGGCAGCCCGGGAGGGGAGGGGTGGGGGAAACAATAATAGGCGCATTTAGTTTTACATGTACTTACCAGAGGTTGGGGGACGATTACATCTACGCATAGACAATCCTCATCGAAGGGCCCAGCCACCGTGAAGTTGCCCATCGGAAAGACAGGCTGTGGGCAGCGATTGCCGAGCTTGGTAGCTTGTAACTCCCCGCTCCATGACTTGGCTACGGGAGGTTTGAAGCGTAGCGGACCCACGGGAGCTTCAGCGTACGGTATACCGAGGTAGGCGTCCACGCTACGGCCAAGCTCGGGGTCCGTGGGGCTGAACTCGAGCCTCGTACCGATGATGCGACCCTGGCTCGTCGTAACTACAGGAGGGTCATCGCTGGCTGCCAACGCCGTCGCCAAAACCAGACACAAAACGCCGACAGATTTTAGATCCATTATTTTCATTTGGTTCCCAGTGTTCTAGTGCAACTTTTCTGAAGCCAACTACGTATACTGTTTGCAGGCTTGGACTGATTGTAATTACAAAAGTCTAATGCCTTGTGCGTGCACACCACAATGGCTGTGCCATGAGCAAATATAGAATTTGAATTGTTCGCTTATCATGATTGTACAAACAAGCCGATTCATGTTTTGCACCGTGAGCTTTGGTCTTGTTGATAGTAAATGCATTAGATAACAACCCGTCTTTTTCTATTGTATTTTTTTTTTGGGGGGGGAGGGGTTGGGGTTGGGTGGAGGAGGTTTGATGCTATTACATTCAAGAATGGAACGCCGAAGCTATGAGACGCCTCGGTCATGTGGGTAAAGTGGCTTTTTCCAATGGTAGCGCTGTCAAATCGGACGGTCAATGGTACTATCGGACAATAGGTGGCGCTTTTCAAGGCGGCAATGTTACCGACCACCAGCGTTCGCGGGACGTTCCTCAAAAAGGGCATTTGTTAAAAAAGGGCAATCGTTAATGTATTTATATTTATATTTATTTTATTTTTTTTTTTTTGGGGGGGGAAGGGTTGGCTGTTACGCTACTGTGAGTTGAGGGTGTTCTGTACGTGTGTGGTTTCCTGCTCGACTTAAGTCGCCTATGGTAAGCAGTTGGCGGTACTTCCTTGTCGACGAAAGTCGCCTATGGTCAGGAAAGAGTGTTAATTAACGCAAGAATGGAATGTCGTTCTCAATATTATTTTGTTATTCTAGGGAAAACAAGCCTGGAAACTATGTTACAATGGGTTGAACAGTTCCCAAATGAAAAAAGTAAATGACAGGCTGAATATAAGTGGCATATTATGTAAACACACCATGAAAAATGTGTCAATTTATTTTAGATCAGCTGGCTTCTACAGTTTACATCCCTAGGCGTTTGCAACATAACAATTTAAAAAACTTACTAAAAGTAGAAATGCACTGTCTTTTACTACTGCAATAGCATTCGAACCTAACGCTGCCAATTATTAGCTGTAAGAGCCAATACAGGAACACGTCAGCTAGTTTCGTATTTCTGGCGACCAATTTGTAAGGTGGCCAAGTTGGGCTCTTTGTATGCCAGCGCATTTTCATGAGCCGTCTACCGTGTTGTGATATAATTCCATGTAGACTAATAAGGGAATAAATGTGTGCTCCGGAGGTTTTTATCACTCTGTTTAATACCACTTAGAGTCTGGGTGCTGATAATTACCCGAGCCGGAGGCGAGGGTAATTATCAGCACCCAGACTCTAAGTGGTATTAAACAGAGTGATAAATACCGACGGAGTACATATTTATTCCCATTCATAAATACCTTTTCGGTAAAAAAAAATCATATAATTCGTTCAAAACATCCCGATTTTGTTCAACAAATTCACTTTATGCTTTTTGAAACATCCCTCCTGCAAAATAATGGAGTGTTCAGCTGGCGAGTAAGATGAAAACAACCCTTTTATGGAGATTGACGCGCGCGTATCATGTTCTACGCGATGTCGCGCAGAACGCACCTGGCGCGTTGCGTTTTGAATTTAGAACTATAAAATTCTAACTACCTGGTAGTGTTGCGCATGCCTACGTGAGGATTGTGAACGTTCAACCAATGAAACGATAAGAGGCACTGGATTTTTAGGAGTCCATATTTTATTGTGACACTGGAAAAGTGTTTAAGACCAGCTAGCCATGTCTTTATCATCCGTTTAATACCGGCCACGTGACGGGCTCTCGACCAATAGGAATGGCTAAACTGTCCGAGGTATTTATGAATGTGCAATATAAGTCACTGTGCATACACAAAAAAAACCGTCTTCAAAGCCGTTCAACTATGTATTTCGAAACTTGGCGTAGCTGCGGACCATTTTAAATAATTTAAACATCTTGGACGAGGATAAAAACACTCTTTACGGTTGTTTGTTTATGAATTAGTCCGTTCGCGAAACAGTCGTTGGATCACCTCAGCCCGCCATTTTGAAAATTATTTTGTCCTGCTTTCTTCGGAATCGTTCGACAACTCTAAAAGTTATGTTACGAGTAAAATAGAAATTCATTTACTCCAAAAAGTGTCTTGTATCAACCTTAATAAGTTGCAATATCAGGCTCAACGACAGTCCCGATTTGCTGGTAACGTATGTCATTTTCTGTCGCTACGCCACAACTTACGCCACCTAAAATGATTGCGCAAGTTACGCCATAATGTGATGCGCAAGTCGCGGACTCAAGCACTATCTGACTTTCGTGAAATGTGTCATAAGTAAAATGTTGCGAAGCGTGAAATGTTGTGCAACTTACGTCATAAATTTTGGTGCAAGCAGAGTTGCGCCATTGCGTAAGGTTTCGTGAAATCGGCTGCGGGACTTTTAGTAATAGAGAAGGATTAAATAATTCGTTAAACTTTGTCTGTGCATATTTGGGCGCAGTGGTCACCAAATATGCAGAGAACACTTCACGGAAAAGTGGAAAGTCATATTGTTTTTAATTTTATTTTAGGAAAACAAGCCTGGTCCTGAATAAAAAGAAATTAATAACTTACAAGCTTAATATGTGTATGTAATACACACCATGACAAATACATCAATTTATTTCAGATCTGCTGGCTTGCACTGTTTATATCCACTATAGGCCTAATAGAACATTACAAAAAAGGAAATTTTACACTAAGGCCAAAAAGGTCTCCGGTTTCTGGTATGGAGCTTGCCCCAAAAGTGGTGCGGCGACGCTTTTTTTTTTTTTACCGGGTTTTTTTCTTCAAATGTCGGATGATGAATGCAAATGGTGCCCGACTAAATTTAGCGCAAATATATGGGAGTCCAGAGAGGCTACAAAAAGCTGATACTCGATCGTAACCCCATCTAAAAACACGTTAAAATTGTGCAGCAGCATGATTCCAGTCAAAACAGTGAGTTTGGCGGTTTTAAGACATCATCTTACATTAATTTTTTTTTTTCATTTTGCCGACGCGCATGGCTACTGCGACGCGCGCGCATACCAGAAACCGGAGACTTTTTTGTTTGGGCCCAAAAGTAGTAATGCCCTTTCCTACCACTACAACAGCCATTGAAACTAGCACTGCATTTATTAACCATAAGCACCTAAAAAAAACATAAATTAGCTAGATGCATAACTGGCGACCAATTTGTACGGGGGGGGGGGATTAACAAACTCATTTGTAACATATTAGTTTAATACGCGGTTCCGTGGCCACTGTGCAGATACATACATAAAATAGCCGTCGTAAAAGCCGTTCAATGAGTATTTACATGTAAATCGAAACGTTGCGCAGCGGCGCCCAACATATTTGTTGCATTCGTTGTATATGTCGTATATTACGTAAGGAACTGTCTCATGAATTCGTAAACAGGTCTGTATTAGGGTGGTGTCTTAATTAGAATATTTTACGGCTACAGCTTGGGGTCAAAATTCCACATTGCAATTATACACTGGCCTTAATTCCCTCCTTGCCCCAAACTAGTGTAATTTCAACTTGGGATTTGAATTGATGCCTCATTCTTAGCAATCACTCTTAATGCGTAACGTGCTCACTACTGAAAGTTTCCTTTAAAAACTGATAAAAGAGTTGTCATTGTTGAAAACCTGCTAAGCAGTAATTCAAATTTCCATATTCCAATAAGTTTGGTGTGTCGAACTGTACTCTACTCCTCTGGGCATGTTTCCTTGGTACACGTGCCTTCTCCAGCGTCGCCATCTTTGGTCTCTTTCACCTCTCGACATCCTTTCGCCTCTTCTGGAAAATGATCGACAACAACCCCAAAACACCACATGAAAAATGGTTGTTTCTAATTCTTGGCGAAATCACCAACACCTTTCCTTCTTCCGTGTTGCTGCAACATAATTGCTGAAAATTCTTCTTTTAATATTCGTCCCTGAACATCATCAAAATAGCTACATGGTTTTACAAGCGACGCTCGAGGTTATGTTCTTCTTAATAGTCTCTGTATTTTCCATTTTGAATTCATTAAACAAACCCATTGATGATTACATTGTCTGTAATCAAGAAAAAATACCTTTGCTTGGCTTTTTACGTCTAACAAACCATCCAGTAATAGGGCTAAGAAAGAGTCTATATTTCGCTCATGTGATCGGGTAAAATCCGTTTTCCCTGTTCTGCATTGCATACATTCTTGAATAGCAATCATAACAAATGAGCGACCAATGAAGTGGCAGACCCTCCCACTCGCCAGACAGCACTCTGGAGGGTGCTGTTCTAGTTCACCCTGAGTTATTCTTAAAGCCACACTTTGAGACTGTCATTGATGCACCAACGCAAACTCACCGGCAATCTTGATGAGTTTTGGCATGAACTCATTCCACATGAGGCACTCCTTAGCCTTGATGCCACGCCCATTCCGCATGGAGACTGAAAGGTCTTTGTAGGCGAGTTCCTCCAGGGTGAACAACGGCCATTCTGGCAGCTTCTCCTCCTCCCTCTGCTCAGCATCTAGGGAGGACAAGTTGGGATTACTGAAGAGTGGAATAGAAGCAAGGAAGAAACATTGTCAAACGCAAATGTTGATGTTCTCACTGCAGTCGTTTTTTTTTATAAGCTCGTGCTTCACTAACAATCGCAATGTACTCGAACGTGTTCATCTATTGTAACGTCTTTTTTGTGTATGTTACTGTGTACAAGTATATACATGTACATGTATTGATGGGCAATGTACTTATTGTAGAATTGTAAACTATATAGGTTAAGTTTTTTTTACAGTTTGATCTATTTATATCTTTTACATGTCCATATATAGTTAATAATTTACTTACCCAGTCTTGGCTAGATTAGCCCAGTATTTGATAGTCTGGATCGACATACGGGCTTCATCTTCAGTGAACGTCCAGTTGACAGACGGGATGAGGGGCAGACCCATGACGAAGATGACGTTGTCACCGTGAGTTGACTTGGTCCACTTCTTACCTAGCATGGTGGTGGTGGGGACGTGATTCATGTAATAGCGGTACACCTGACGCCCAGCCTTGGTGAAGGCCCTTGCCGTTTTGTCTCCGGAGCATAAGAAAATGACGTCACCGACAAGTTGTGAGAGGCTGTCTAGATAGTCACAGTCTGGTAAACCGTAACATGAGGCGTTACCATACATTAGCTTGGCTGCCTCTATCACAATCGGCTCAGAGCTCAGCAGCGAACCTAAATGGAATTGAGCGATAGCATCGAATGTATCGCTGTCGACGAACGGTGCTTCGTCTGTGCTGTTTGGGAAAACAAGAAGGAGCATGAACATCCCCTCATCAGACTGAGCCCCGACGATTGATACTGCATCGTTGATGGCGCCCTGCTCGTAGAGGTCATTGGGGTCAGCAGGGATGACCTCGCCATCGACAACTGGTGCGAAGGCCTGCATTCCTCCACCCAACTCCTGCAGAAGCTGCGCCAAGATTGGATAAAGTGCAAAATTTGTCATTGCTATACCCTTCCCGACACTGCAAGCACAAGATATTGATCGAAGCAAGATATTGGCCAGCTATACGAAAACACGAATAAAACTCAATCGTTTGTTATTCAGTTGATGATAATTAGACTTAGATTTAAAATCAACAGAAAATGTTACCACCAAAATTAAAATTAAAAGGTATAATTAAGAGGTATTAAAACCAACCTTCTCATGTTGGTTTTCGACAATCGTGTCAAAGCCTTCAATTTGCTGCAGACATTCCAGTAACTCTTCCGACGTCTGACGTTCACAGCCGACCAGCTTTCCGAAAACAAAGGCCGCTCTCCGTGCCGCACCGTCTGGCAAGGTAGCCCAAGGAGCAGCAGCATCGCCACTCTACGAGATGGGATATACACACAAGGAAGTGATGAGGTGTGTCTTTGTTATGTCATCATGTAAGCTAATACATAAAATTCGTTCAACGCATCAAGAAGGAAAGCAGATGGTTTTGGGAATGCGACCTCGAACCATATTTGACACGTACGTGTGGTGTTGCTCGATATGGACGGGACTTGACATCATTTGACAGTACTGACGTCTAGCTCTTTCCACCAATTTCTCCGACATGGGAGGAAAGCGAGAGCACCAATTAACCCCTTTTACAAAGCCCCTGGCCGGAATGGAGGGGGCGGGGCATTCCTTTCCGCATTCATTTCTTTACTGTCTTGTTGATCCTGTATCCGGGTCGTTAGTGTGACGTCAGTTCAGTTTAAACCACGCCCACTGGCCAAGTGGCACTGGAACCATTGGAACCGGAATTTAACGCAACTTGAGTGTTTATCCAATGGGCGCTAGTAATCAGTGGTGCGCGCGCGTGTATGACGTTTTACTAATGAACCAGATACGAATTAATTTGAGGTGTACCTCCAAGATGGCGCCACGGAAGAGCCCTGCACTGCCCGGTGACACCATGTGCAAGCCCACGCAGGCTGCTCCTGCGCTCTCACCGAAGATGGCAACTCGCCCGGGATCACCGCCAAAAGCTGGCCATTAACCGGAGAAAAACATATTGAATCTTCTAAGGCCATTGCTTTGAGTTTAACTCCTTCTGATCAAACAACTCCATTTTGATAGATCTGTTGCATGGAAGTCATCGTCAGGTTCATGCCATTGTTGAACAGGGAGACGGATGCGTGACCCTTTTAATTATGCGTTAAAGATGGCCGCTGAACGCAAAACGTCTATAGATGAAGCTTCTATGTAATTTGCCGCGTTTTGGTGGAATTTAGGCAGTATCTTGCGCGGAAATAGTTTTCAGGCAAATTGTCGCACTATGGAACTTATCTACCATTGCGATGTAGTAACCGACCTTGGTGGGGTTTTTTTTGTTTAATTTGTCGGCAACAGACTTTGCACAACGAGGATATTCCCCAGTTGGTAAACCACACACAAGACATGAACGTGACTCTATAATGACACATATTATGCACACTGAATTGTCTAAATGTATCCAAAAAGACCATCATTATTTGTAAAAGCTGGTACCTTTGATGTTGTCTCTGACCCATTCCATGGCAAGACGTTGATCCAACAGTGCCATGTTACCTGGGATGATGTCATCATCTGCAGTAAGAAGTTGGCATTAAAGAAATCTCGTCAGTATAGGTGGGCTCGGACATCCGGGAATTGTTTGCATTGGCTTATCTACCTCCAAGACCGAATATCAATGGTTCTTGAGTCTGGAGTGCTGGACCGTAACACATAACAACCGATGAAATGTGTGTTCAACTGAGTACATGTTTTCAACAGATGACGTCAGCCCGCCCACCTATATGAATAATAACATTGTGTGCAAAACTTTCACCCATCATGTTTTGAGTATTGCATCCTAGAAATGAGAGCACTTCCTCCTGCTTGCTCGAGGCGTAAACCTAGCAGAGCCTACTTTATGCATTGATAGCTTCCCTGGGCGTGATCCCTGGCTACATGACGTGTATTAGGGTTCTATGGCTTTTGACTAGCGCCTCCTGAACAAAGCCATTGACAAAACTGCCAAATATCGGGCTGGATAGCTCAGTTGGTAGATCACTGCAACGGTGTTTCGGGTGTCACAGGTTCAAACTTGGCTCCAGTCAAGTTCTTTATTTGTTCAACTTTATAATTTAGTTCACCATTTCATTAAAAAGCTACACAGACTAATTTCAACTACTGAACGGAGTTTACAACATATGACTTTGAATTCTTGGGCTGTTTTTTTTTGTATTGCCTAAAAAGGTTCACCTCCTTATAAGTATCTTTTGGAAAGATAAAAAAAAACAGTTTCAATTTCATGGCTTTACTGTTCTTATCCTGAACTTACTCGTTGAAAGAAAGCCAAAAGGGCCGAGTCGATAATTCATTGTGACGACAATGACGTCACCTACAGATGCCAATGGGGTGGGATACAGATCCTCAATTAAAATTCCAGCTCCCATCATGTAGCCTCCGCCATGGATGTAGACAAGAACGGCTGCATCTGAAGGCTACGAAGAAAAAATGACACAAACACTCTCATATTAACCTTACGCTACATAGGTCATACGCTCCATAGGCCATGACACATATTATTTTGTTCACACACAAAAAAAGAGTTTTGTGGTCACATGATGCCATTTTTTCACACACAGTTCTCTTAATGCACCGCATAGGTTTGTCTCTTGTGAACGGTTTTGAAAGTGCCCAGGAATTAGCTTTTGACCACTCACAGAATGGGATTTGCTCCATCCCTGCACTAACATTATCTTTTCGAAAAAGGCCTGGTTAGCATACCATATGAATATCTGTTCAAAATAATATATTGGCCGAGTCGTTAATAAGCCATACACAGTCAGTAGCCGTGTCACGCACACAGCCCTGTTTGACCCCAGTTTCTCGTCCCGAGGTCAAGCACGTATGGCCCAAAAGCGTACGCGAGATTTTACGAGATTTATTCGAGACTACAGAAAACACAAAACGTGCCTCGATACATGCACTGTTTGGACAAGATGGCTAACTAAGTGAAAAGTTGAAATCGTGTGCTTTATTTTGATATAAAAAATAACTGCTTTTGACAAATATAAAGTGTTGTTATGGCCTGTGAAACAAAATCATTTTTTTATCAACAAAATCGAGGGCCGATAGTTTTTAGGTGCACATTCGATTCTTAAAAAAGGCCGAGACAAATGGCAAGGCTTAGTAGATAGAGGAAAGTATACGCTTCATTTTCATATGAAACACGTGCAGGAGACTTCTAATGTTTGGTCCAAATCGCCGGTTGAAAAATGAAGACTTTTGCGAGATTTCATGATTTGCAAACACAATGTACGCGTGTAAACGTACGCCGACGTACGTTGGCCTGAACACATTGTGAATAGCACGCGCTACTCGCGCAATGAATGACATGAATATTAAGCAGGCCATACTCGAGCGCGAGCTCGACCAATCAGTGGGCGTATGGGTCACAAGGTCACACCGTGTTTGGGTTCCTCGCTCTATGCTTTACACTGGCGACGATCTTTTCGCGTTTGAAAAATGGAAGTTGTTGGAAACATTGGGTGTACATCGAATTCTTAAAATATTAACGACATCACGTTCACGAGATTTTTTTGTAGATGAAGGTTCACACTTTCGTTTGATTACCTCAACATTTGGGAGACTTTCGTCGTTCTGGAAAAAACCTGGACATTTCATGACCTAATTTTTAGTCGATTTGTCCGTGAAATAATATCGTCAAAATGCATCGAAATCCTTTTTTTGAGAACAAAAAAAAAACCTTGATAGATGTATGAAGTAGGTCATCAACTACCTAAAACAACTTTGTTTGTTTGGATCGGTCGCTGGCCTCGCGTTGCTGTCAGTTGTGTGGACGAGAAAATAGAGCAGCTTTGCGTGACACGGCAACTGACTGTACAGCACTAGCACTGTGTACAAAACACGGCTGTGCTGTCGAACGACTTGCCCTCGAGTATTCTGCATGTACATGTACATGTACATGTACATGCACGTACATGTACATGTACGATCACACATCGTGTGGACCCAGTGCGCCAATACTAAACAAGTATTGAATGCTTCGAGTGGTGTAGTAAAACTAGCCTCCCGAGGTGATGCATGGACATTCTATTTTCACCGAGGGAGGCTAGTTTTACTTCACCACGACATAAAGCATTCAATATTTGTTTTATAACACTTCACCCACAGATTCTGCTTGGTTATAATATTATTAATCATTTAAATCTGAACACATTTGAAATAAACTTCAATTTCAATACAAAATTGGTGGGAAATGTATTTCTCTCTTCCATACTACCCCTTCGCGAAATGTTTGAACCCAACTCTGTGGCCCGCTCTCTTTGGAACAAAACGCGCTGCGCGCAACACGTTTTGTTCCAAAGAGTAGGGGTAGTTTGGAAGAGAGAAATACATTTTCCACCAGTTTTGTATTGAAATTGAAGTTTATTTCAACTGTGTTCAGATTTAAATAATTTAAAATATTAAAATCAAGCAGAATCTGTGGGTGAAGTGTTATAAAACAAATATTGAATGCTTTATCTCGTGGTGAAGTAAAACTAGCCTCCCTCGGTGATCCATCATGTCCATGGACCATTCTATTTTCCCTCGGCTTCGCCTCGGGAAAATAGAATGTCCATGGAGGACATGGATCACCTCGGGAGGCTAGTTTTACTACACCACTCGAAGCATTCAATATTTGTATATTATGTACGGTGCATCCATGATTTTAAATCCACCATGATTGCATGCAGTGTATAATACTTACCAGAGGTTGGGGGACGAACACATCAACGAACAGACAATCCTCATCGAAGGGCCCAGACAAAGTCAATTTGCCGATCGGCATGCTGGGTTGTGGACAGCGATTGCCGAGCTTGATAGCTTGTAACTCCCCGCTCCATGACTTGGCTACGGGAGGTTTGAAGCGTAGCGGACCCACGGGAGCTTCAGCGTACGGTATACCGAGGTAGGCGTCCACGCTACGGCCAAGCTCGGGGTCCGTGGGGCTGAACTCGAGCCTCGTACCGATGATGCGACCCTGGCTCGTCGTAACTACAGGAGGGTCATCGCTGGCTGCCAACGCGGTCGCCAAAACCAGACACAAAACGAAGACAGATTTGACATGCATCTTTTCCTATGGTTCACAGTGATCTAGTGCTGTAATGATCAGGTCACTGTAGCTGTGTGGGCAGCCTTTGGGTTCATGGTCTATTTTTTTGTATCACAACTCGATTTCATTGTGCGTGCACATCTCAATGGCTGCGCACAGTGCACATCTGATTAGCAAATGAGATTTCCTTGTTCCCCTTACTCACGGTGCAGTGGCGTAGCAAGGTCATTTGTATTGGGGTAAACGTGAAGCTGAAAAGGTGGACAGGTTTTTTTCACAGGTCACCTGGCCTCCGTAAAATCCAAAAGTGTGTTGGGGGTGCATGGTGGGTGGGTGGGGGACACCATATTCATATTGGGGCGCTGTTAAAATCCTTGGACAAAACTTTAAAACGTTGGTTGTGTTTAAAATTTCGTAACTTGCAAACTATATGAGTGATTTGAATGATTCTTGTACTAAAAAAGCGTATGAATTGGGCTTTCATATCCTAGCTGTTGGCAGAACTTAATTCACAAAAACAATTATGGTCCCGACATTTGGGTTTCGATTTTTTTTATTCACTCTGTACTACCCCCCTCTGACGAAGCCCCGCCTGGAGGGTGGGGAATCCCGGGACATACCGTTCTTTCGTTTTACCGTTTTGAATTTCCTCAAAAACAAGAACAGTAAACGAACCGATCGATGACCGTTTTGTCGTTTTACAGTTTTGTAAAACGGCAAACGGTATTAAGATAAATACGGTTATTCTGTTTTATCAGTTTAGTAAAATGCATTACAGCATAACGATCAATGATTTTTGTTTTACAGTTTTACACAAATATTAAGTTTGATTAACAGCAACAAAACGGTCAGTATTGAATACAGACTGTTTTTTTTTTACTCCAGTGTCATAGTTAACAGTCCGTGGTGCATTTTGTGGCGGTGGGCAAGGGGGAGGAGGGTGGAGGGGACCATGCCGTGCACGAAGAAGCGTTAACCTCGGCATAATTAATGCGTGGTGTGATTCCTGGCGTGACCTTGACCCCCCATCTACTGCGATTCAGTTGGTGGGGCTTGAAGAGTTGCAAACAAAAATGGCGCTGGAAAATTTCATGGAGGAAATTTCAGAATAGATACAGTGTTGTAAGACGTACAAAGAAGTTGCAGATATGTTGAAGGAAATTGGAGTCGCCAGCGCGGCTTTTTAATAGCCAATATTCTCAAATTCTGTCTTGAGAACTAGAACGACATAAATGTAAGGACTCCTTACTAAGGAGGGCAATTTCACAGGCAGACGGTGACTCGATCCCAAGGACACATTAATATTCCAAGGTGCCGCATTGCTATAATTGCCAACTTAAACCTGAATAAAAAAATGGTCGACAAGACTTTTGACCGTTTTGACATTGTCATGTTTTTGTAAAACAACACTCTAAAAATAAAGCAACTAACCGTTTATTGCTTTTTACAATTTACAAAAACAATAAAAAGGTAATTGTTTTCTGTGACTTAATACCGTTTGACCGTTTTACAAAACTGTAAAACGACAAAACGGTCAATGGCTCGTTTGTATACATTTTAAGTTGTACCTCCACGATTGCGCCACGGATCAAGAGCCCTGCACTGCCCGGTGACACCATGTGCAAGCCCACGCAGCCTGCAGGCCTGCTCTCTCGCCGAAGATGGCAACTCGCTCGGGATTACCGCCAAAAGCTGACGATAATTAACACGAGAAAAACAAATCACATCATTCTTCCGTAGAGGCTTTCCAATTTGAAGTCATCTTGAGCTGCAATTTGAACGCGGAATAAAACACGTCAAGATTGTTGCAAAAAAACCCGAATTTTCTACGTGCGTTGGTTGAAATGCCGTGGTCACTTTTGCGGAAATAGTCTTCGAACTGCCTCACAATGGAAATGATGCAAGCCCAACTTATTGATTGTTACCAAAGGGTAACCGACAAATGTGTGTCTGTGACTTTGGCAAAGTGAAGATTTTGCTCAGTTGGTACACCACTAACATTTCACATCAACTATAACTCTAAAAAGATTCAATTGTGTACACACTGAATTGTCTGAATGTAGCCACAAGTTTCATCTTGATAACAGCCGGTACCTTTGATGTTGTCTCTGACCCATTCCAGGGCAAGACGCTGATCCAACAGTCCCATGTTACCTGAGACGTCATCACCTGCAGTGAAAAGTTGGCATTAAAGAAGTCTCGTCAGTGTATGGCGCCCACATCCTGGGATTTGTAACTTTGCTTATTTAGCTCCCAGACCTATGTTCTTGAAATTCGATGGTTCTTGAGTCCGGAGTGCTGAATGGTAACACATAGTAACCGCTATTGTGTAAATAAATGGATGTTTTCTCTGGATGACGTAAGCCCACCCCAATTGTAAGTGTATGAACAGTGGTTGTGTACAAGTCTTGCACCGAACATGTTTCAGTATTGCATCCTAGAAATGAGAGCACTTCCCACTTACGCGAGGTATAAACCAACCAAAGCTTACGTAAGGTCTGGATAGCATAATTGATAGACTTTGGGTGCGATCCCTAACTGTCGCCCTTATACAAAGTCATTGACAAGCTAGGCAGTGGTCAGCAAACAGCTAGATAGCTCAGTTGGTAGAACATCGGAACGGTGACCCGGGAGGTTCAAACCCCGCTCCAGTCAAACTCGTGGTTGACATAACCAGGGCCTGGCCCAGATTATCTAATACGCGCGGTAGGGACCGTGTCTGGCGGGGTCGATTTCACGAAACACGTAAGTTACGATGCATCGTCAAGTTACGATGTGTCTTAGCCCTGCGATCAATCTTAGCTGCGATGCACTACGAACCATTTCACCAAACTTATCGTAACAGCGATGCATCGCAAAACTATTTTTAGCGTGACTGTTTCATGTCTGTCAGTAGTATCTAAACAGGTGGCAGTCATTTAGTAATCACCAAAGAGTCGTGGGATTTCTCTTTAAAAGTTTCAAATTGAAAAACAAAATGGCGGTCGTTGATAATTGGTTTGCGGACAAAACAATGCTCGAAACAAACAATTGTTTGACTGGAATTTTCTGCTAAGTTGTCACGGTAAGTCACATGTACGTAACAGTAATTTACATAGATAATTGAACGAACATTATCAAATTATGTCGGTATTCTTTTTTCACTTGTCATGTCGTAAAACTGGCTTCGAAAAGACACTTCATAACTTACGACGACCCACAAATACGTACGTCTTAACTTACGACGTGTTCTTCGCCGTTGTCATTTTACTTACGATGCGTTCAACTCATAGTTTCGTGAAATCGATTTTAAGAAGGGTACTCCTTAAAAAAAAGGGCACGCGCAAGCCAAATGCTAGTCGAAACAGCGGCGGGCTGCGAATGTTTTTCCCCAAACGACATCCGCATATGGGGTATACGCTATGGCGTTTGGGAATTTACTTCTCTGAAACCTTAAAAGAAAAAATATAATTAGGAAAAAAAAATGAATTCGAACGTAATGATATTCGGACTTCATTTCCCTTTTGAAATAATCATCGAAAGCCTTAGATTAGAAAAGAAAACCAATTCGGGTACAAAACGGTGACTCAAACCCACAACTTGAACCTCCGTCCGAAGATGTAAAAAAAACCCTCTTTACTACAGTGTATAAGCAAATAAATAATGGAAGTGTTTAGAACGGAAAACAGGACACAAAAACAGTACAATGACGTCATCATTTGGAAGGGCATCCTCTAGCGGTACATCAAATCGGGTTTCCTTTTTTTAATTTAAAAACCATCAGTCCAAATTTAACTAAATCGCCCCTTGTTATTTTTTAATCAACTACATATAACTTTGCAAGGTTTCAAAATTATGACGGCATCATACCAAAAGTTACTGTAGGGAGAATTTGAAAATGATCATTTTTTTAAATTTTATAATTTGATCCCTGTCTACGACTTTGTTTGTAGCCCAAATAATGATATCCGTTATAATGTTGACCTTTTGATCTTTGATGTTGTGACGTCATCAAACCGGAAGTTAGTTGTTATTCATACAAACACTTATATTTTCCATATTTTCATACGTTATTTTAACTTCATAATTAACATGTGTCCTCTCCGAACTAAATCAGCATTCACTTTCCCTTTTGGACTGATTACGTCATCAAACCAGAATTAACTTGTCCGTGTGCATAAAATGTATACCGAAATTTGATACATTTTTGTTTTAAACAAAATCATTGGTTGTACTGGAAAGGATACATTTTCGTGATCCTTTGTTCCGACATTAAATTATTCATAACTAAACCGGGCTGTGTCTAATGAAATAGTTGTCGGCCCGACCACTCTGCGTTTTTAAACTCAATAAACGCCTTGACCTCTAGGGTGTACTTGTCGTGGTAAAACAAACCGATTCATTTTTTGGCATCGTGAGCTATGAGCCCTTCGGTCTTGTCGAAAGTAGATGCATTACAAATCAACCCGTCTGATAAATCTATTGTAAAGTTTGGACAATAAAAGATGTTTACAAATAAAAGGCGGGGTTTTTTTGGGGGGGGGGTGAGTGGGTTTGATGCTAGATTTAAGTGTGGAACGCGGAATCCGTGAGACGCCCGGCCATGTGGGTATCTGGCATTTTGCTGTTCAAAGTGGACGACAAAAGTCGCCCATGGTAAAGAAGGAGTTTTAATTAACGCAAATATGGCATGTCTTTTTCAATTATTTTCATTCTAGGAATAACAATCCTGGAAATTATGATAATGGTTGAACATGTTTTGGATAAACACGAAATAAGCCGAATGTAAGTACATGTATGTAAACACATACCGTGAAAATGTGTCAATTTATTTCAGATCAGCTGGCTTCTACAGTTTATAGTTATCTCAAAGCGTATATAATTATGCAACGTAACAATTAAAAAAATATCTTGTTAAAGTAGAAATGCACTGTCATAAACCACTACAACAGCATTCGAAACTAGCACTGCTTTTGTTATCTATAAGAGCCAATAAGGCTAGTTGCGTAATTGGCGACCAAAATAGGTGGCCAAGTTTGGCTCTTTGTATGCCATGTTGTGATATCATTCCTGTATATGTAGACTAATGTGCAACATATTACGCGGTTCCGTAGTCACTGTGCATACACAAAATAGCCGTCACAATAGCTGTTCAATTGTATATTTAAATCGGAACGTTGCGCAGTGGCGCCACATTTC